GTCATTGAGCGAGCCAAGGCGAAAAGAAGGCGTTAGCATGACGAATTGCTCGTCGAGCTGCCGACCTGCGGGCTGGAGTAAAGGAGAGCATTGAAATCCTGGACGAGGGACATGGAAGTGCCATTCGATTGTTCACCTTGGTCACATTGTTCTTCCTGCCGCTGTAAGCATCTCGATCCTATGATGTGGTTCATTTAACACGAGCGATATATTGAACAAGCACTGACTTGCTTTCTCGGTCATTCGCCACCAGCTTCTTTGGAATTAACACCGTGGATATTCGGGACATACCTGTCACGGGCTAGAGCCCGGATTGATATCTCCGGCTTCGCCGGAGCAGTTACCGAGATCCGGCTCCGTTGGACCCACTATTCTGCCGCAGTACGCCGCCTAACCCGGCCTGCTTCACCGCTGTTAGGTGCCTACTCTTGTAAAGTCCTTTCTTCCTTCTTCAGCTTAGAATAGTCAATCGACGGCACCTCTACGTTGAACAAGCCTAGGGGCCAGCCCCTTACAATACCATAGACCTTATGGATATAATGGGCAACAGGTGCAGGTATCACGCTATTGGTGTTGCACTCGGCCTAGTTATACGCGTACCAGTGGGAGGCTATTACGAGGTGTGTGACTAGAAAGACATGGCTATATGAGGGTGTTAGTCGTTCGAGCAAAGCTCAAGCTAGTCGAGTTGTTGACTTTTGGGAATCATATATGCCCAGAAGACTTGGTGCTGGCAAGAGACCTGGGGCCTGCGGAAGGGAGAGACAATAGCTGACATGGCATGACTATGCTGAGTTTCCGACAAAACTGCCTACTTTTCATATGCTCAAGAGACTGTTTTTCTTGTGGCTGTACTCCACTTGACCGTAGCTGTCGACCTCTTTATCTTTTTTTCTATCGTTGTTATCAACATCATCGTCATTGCCATGGCCATCGTCGTCATCATCGGTACTATTGTGTTCAGTAGGAGCAAAAACTACGCAGGAAACATAGCCGCGCAGATACAGGAAACCTAGGGGTCTCGTTGTGAAAAAGAATTATCGGCGGGACATTTTTATTTTCCGAGCACCCTAGCGCCCTTTTTTCCAGACCTTCCCATCTCTTGGAATCTCGCGTCTCCAAAGACCACTTTCCGTTGCTCGGGGGTCATTTAGCGATGTGACACTTCCCTCTTGACACCTTCTCAAATTCAAGCAGCTCCAAAGTAGAATTTAAAGAATTAAGAAGGTCAAAATTGGGCTGCTGGCCTGTGAAGTGTCTGGATTCCTGTGCAAGAAGCTAAGAAGTCACAGATTTGAGACAAACTTGAGGTCGTTAAATGGTATAAATGATTCACCGGCTCTAACAAGGGACCAGCCACTTTGAATTCTATTTCGGTTCGTAAAGCCCGTATCAAAGTGTATTGCTCTGGATCCACCGGATGCAACCGAGTTTTCCACACTATTCTGGAGGTGAGATCCTATCGCCAAGATTCCCTCTCGATTTGCGGAATTAACTGTAAGGCCGCGCTGTCGTTGAAGTCCGAGTCCGGCAATGGCGGTTCCGCGTCGTTAAGCGCCTTGATGGCTCCAGTCATTCTGTCAATCGATGGTTCTGCCTCGTCGAGTGATTTGAAAATTTTAGTAACGGCCAAGTTCCTCAGTTTCTGCAAGATCGACTCCATCAGGGCTTCTACTTTGCCCGCCTCGCGGACCTTCTCGCGGTAGAAATCAAAGAATGTCGACCAGTTTCTATCCTCACTTCTCTGCTTCATTGCTTTCCTGATTGCATTGAAAATGTACCCGATTTGCTTCGCCTGGTTGTTGCAAAGTTTGAGAAATCCGTCCACATACCCCGCGAACTTCGTGTCGGGTTCATCTCGGACAACCTTGACGACATCCAAGACTATTGGGAAAGACTCTCCCACTCTGTGGATAGCGTTTGGAAGATCGGTAATGTCCTTGACTATTTGGAAGAGCTTTTCGAGCCTCTCGAATAAGTCGATGGTTGATGCGGCCGTGCTGGAGGCTTCCATCTTGCGTGTCCGAGGGACGTGAAGGCTCTGCGGCTAGAAAATTGACGACAAACCTTGTCAGAGAAAAGGAGAAGTAGCATTCGTATGCAAACCGTCTGCAGCCGCTAGGTGAGATGCATGGCGCTTCCTAGGTGTAGTCAAGCCGCAGCCTTCAGCTGTCAGTCGTGTGTTCGTCATCAAGCAGTAAACCCGTGGCCTATGCATGTTGTGCGTACAATTGGTATCATGGTCATCACAATCAGGCTCTCGAGGAACAAACTTCCAAGGCCGAGTGAGGTGATAAACAACGTGCATCAGCATCATTGGCTTATTGACTGCATGTTGACCGTGCAGAATAGAGGCTGTGCGAGCGATCCTGTATTGGATGGAAACCATAGGAGCAATCCATGGATGTCAGACTGGGAATCTGACATGCATACGAACTATGATGCGGGGTGATTAGAGAAAAGCACGCAAGCACACCACTTTTGTTGGTACCTCATGTTCCGACTCGGGAGGAGTACCCGGCTTTAATACAAGTCAATGTTCGAAGAAATCGCGGGGCATGTGTTCAAAGTCTTTCCACTCACCCATCAAAAGATAGGTCAGGGGCCTGTAATATTTTTCTCCTGCTATTGATTCATCGGGATCGGAGAGCCGCTCATGTCCGGCTTCTCAAGTGCATTGTATGCTGCTTTACGTAGCCAGACAACCGTCCCCTAATTTGCAAAGTTCCCCAGCACAAGCTGGCTTATCTTTATCAGCGCGGGTCCAGGACAAAAGTGGAAGACGCATGCACAGAGCCCCGGTGAACCAAAGAGGGGTGACTTACGTCTGGCTAGGCATCCCAGCAAACGGTTGCCTCACAGCCTGGTCTGCCATTTAAGGCGAACCATCGAAATCGAGGGAAGCAGTACGGTACTATATTTTCGTTCCTTAATTCTGCACTTTTTCTCGCCCACTCGCAATCATATTGCCGGCGTATTTGGTATCTAGGCATCCTTCGTACTACATTCGCAGTTGTCAAACAAGCTTGGCCCCATATACAGAGGACACTCTGACGCATTGATGCTAGCCTCAGGACAAACTGAAGGAGCCAACTACGATATACATGAATCCCGGAAAGTCCGAGAAGAGTGGAGAGGGGAAGGGCCCGCGAGAAGATGAGAATGAGACACAACAACATAAGTCACGGAAGCGTCCAGGGGATTCATCGAATCCCTTGAATAAGCGCCCCGAGAACAACGGCGCTTATAGAGTCCACCGGAAAAATCGAAAGTATCCCGACATTTCCTACATAGGTCCTGGTGGGTATCCGTTGCCCGATCACATGGCAGATTATTCATATTCCCATCCACCACCGCCACCGCCACCACCGCCGGAAGCAAAACCAAACCCACCACCCAAAGTGCGTCCACTGGCAACATCACAACCACATCCATATCCTGCAGCACGTCTACGACAACCCCCAACAGGCAGGAATATGAATGGGGCATGGTTACCACCTTTCCACCAACCTGGATATCGGCCTGTTCCGCATCTGAATGTTGCACCAGGCTGGTGGAATGACGTGCCCCCCGCCCACTTCGTGCTCAACGTCCCAGTCAACCAGCCAACTGCCCCGCCACCATATCCTTATCCTCATCCGCTGCCACAAGCTCCTTACGTCCATCAGGGTCCTCCGAGATATGGCCAAGGTTTCCAAGAACCTAACTTCGTCCCTGTGTTTCGACCGAAACCACGCCAACCACGAATTGAAGACATGCCTCCGTGCGTTGATTGCGGCATAGGACTGGTTCAAGAACAGGTGCGATACTTGCTTAGTGACAAGGAGCACGAAAAGTCCAAGAAAGCGAGGAGAAAGAAGGAGCGAGCAGCAGCCGCAGCACAACAGGATGCTGTGGCAAAGAACGTGGCGTTCGTGCGCGATGAGTTTGGGAGATTTTTGGAGGATAGTGTCAGGGATGTCTTGGTGCGACGTCGGGGTCGTTCAAGAGACCTGGATATTGACCCGGAGGCACATCGAAGAGCCATTCCGCTGGAGTATCGCCGATCAAAAACGCCTATAGCAATGACTCAGGACCTTTTGGACTCATTGGAGAGGGGCCGGGCTCTGGAGCAGTCAGAATTGACTTTGCAACAAATTACCGAGTTGATCAGTCGAACTCGAGGGCTAGACCTTCAATCTTCGAAAGGCGATACCGAGGACGAGCGTCAAAAACAATTGGAATCGCTTCAAGCTCAAGTCGACTGGTTGGAAGCGAGAACAGTGCCATACGAGCGCAGGCCCGAGCTGATCATGGATCACCCTACATTCCCAGATGCTCGTTTTGCTGACGCACGGCAACACTTAGGACGCACTCACAGTCAGCCTCCCCGCGGCCGCCAGCATGAGAGGTACTTTATGAATCAGAGGGCTCGCACACCTCGGTCGCGCAGCCGACGGAGGCCGTACCAGTTTGTGGGCGAGGAATTGCACTCTCCCTACGACGATGGACTTTATTCAGATAGCTATGAGGGACTTCCCGAGCTGCGTCGTAGGCGTCCTCAACGGTATCACATACCATTTGCGCCCGAAGTTGCAGATTACTACAAATCCTAGGATTGAACAGTTTGATTGTACATTTTGGCTGGAAATCCTGTCAATTATTGCCCAAGTTGAAGAGAAATGAGAACTTAATATCTAAACATTGACTCCCTGCCCAAGCTGTGCACTCGACAAGACGGCCTGGATGTCAGAAGCCCAGAGAAATCCAGATGGTTTGACCAAGACAATGACACTCAATCTCACCTATCGTACTTCACAGGAGGTTTCGGACTGAGATGTGACTTAATGTCGGCGATTTCGCTTCTCCGAGCTCCAGACAATCAAGGCCGGCAGACATGGACGTAAAGGACCAATTTCTTCATCATATTGATATCAACCTGTAAACATTACTCAAGCCCCCATAATAGATCATGCCAAACGCCATTAATGAAGTCCCAGGATATCTAAGAAACAAGCCATCTACCACTGCGTCTCCATCCACCTAACCATCTTCTCAACAAGCCCGCTCCCCACAACATCCCATCCTTCTCCAACAGCAGGACTCCTCTCTCCTGTCCGCTGTGTCTCAAACACCAACCCCTCACGACCTGGCCTGTCGTTGTCATACTTCTCCTCAAAGAAGCGCAGAAGCTTGTACGTCGGGTTCCGCTCCGGGTCGGGGTCCGAGTCGCGCATGCGACGCACCCACTCGCGCTGCGAGACGATCTGGAACTCGAGGCCGGCGGCGCGGAGGGCGCGCAGGAAGTCAAAGGTCCAGTGGAAGAGCTTTGGGTTCTGGACCTGGTAGACGAGGCTGAGGTCCGCGTCGTCGGGGGATGCTGGGGGCGCGCCGCAGGAGGAGCAGCGGCTGCCGGTGAGGTTGGCGAGTTGGAGGACTGCGAGGGCCATTTTGTCGGCGGGCATCCATGAAGGGGTCTATGAAGATCGTTAGTATGGATTTCCTTTCTGTGACTGTAATGTTGTAACTTACCTCGTCAAGAGCAGGCAGCGCCTTAATCACCTTGGCGCTGCGAATCATCAACGGAATGGCTTCCGTCTGGTTCCAAACACCACCCTCAGAATCGCCCACAATCTGTCCCAAACGCAACACACGCGCCGTCATCCCGGTCTTGGTCGCCGCCGCCTTGACGACGTGCTCCGTCACAACCTTGGACCGCGCATAACCCATGTTCTGCGCGTGCTCGAGGTTCTCCACATACGTTTCTTTCACGCGCGCAGGAATAGGTGTCCCCGCGGCCGCCGAGATGGACGAGCAGAAGTAGAACCGCGCAGGGTTGACCGTCTCGGCGCCGAGGCAGATGTTGAGCAGGTTGTGAACGCCGCGGATGTGTTGCGCCTCGAAGCTCGCGACGCCGAGGTTGAAGTTGACGGCCCAGGCGGAGTGGATGACTGTCGTGAGCGTCTTGCGCAGCTCGGCGGCCGCCTCGGGGGTGAGCCCGAGGTCGGCTTGGCCAAGGTTCGTCGGGAGGTACTTCACCTTGGCCTTCTCGGCGTCGGAGAGGACGAGGCCCTTGGGTGCGAGCGAGGCGAGCACGCGGGACTCGGCTTCGGAGGGGGAAGAGGCTCGGGCGAGGCAGTAGACTGTCTTGACGTAGGGCTGGCGCACAACCTGGGCGAGGAGGTGCGCGCCGAGAGAGCCAGTGGCGCCGGTCAGGACGACGGTCTCGCCGTCCGGGGTTATGGTGCCGGGTTTGCGCTCGCTGAAGTCGGAGTACTTTGCGATGAGCTTCCTCATCACCTCAATCTCGTCCTCGGCCTCGGCGGCCTCGCCGGTGCGGAGAGAGTGGACATGTTTGGCGAGGGCGACGACGTTGGGGAACTCGAAGACGACGTTCTGGCCGAGGGTCTTGCCGCCGAGGTTGACGCCGCGTTGGATGTGGCCCCGGGCGGTACTGGCCTGGAGGCTGTCTACACCGGCCTCGAAGAAGTCGGTCTCCTTCTGCAGGGCCTCGAAGCCGAGCTTGCTGCGGAAGAGGTCGAGGAGGTGGTCCTCCAGCTGGGGAAGGTCGAGCGAGACGAGCTCGCCGCCGACGTCGTCCGTAGGGGCCTCGAAGCGGCGGTAGACGTCCTCGATGAGGTCGGCGAACTGCTTGTAGAAGGCAGCGCGGATGACGGTGCCCTTGTCGGTGCGGGGGTATTCCGTGCCGATGTCGACGACCTCGATCATCTCCGGGGAGACGCGGCCGAACGCCTCGGCGCGCGCGTTGGCCTGCTCGATGACCGGGCTGAGGGTCTTGAGGATCTCCTCCTTGGACAGGTCCTTGGCGTTCTCGCTGGGGATGATGATTAGGCCGGGGATGGACTTGCCGACGCCGAAGACGACGACCTCCTGGACGAGCTCGTGCTCGCGGATGTGGTTCTCGTAGGGGATGGGGAGGACCTTCTCGCCGTTTACGAGGGTGACGCGGTCATCGAGACGGCCGAGGTACCGCCAGGCGTCGGGGATGGTAGGATGCGGGACGAAGGTATCGCGGGTGCGGTATGAGTTGGGGGCCGGGTCGTCCGAGTTGGACATGACCTTTGACGGGAGGCCATCAAGAACGACACACTCGTAGACATCGCCTGCGATGGGGATCATGCGCAGCCAGGGCTTGGCCGAGGCGAGGGGGCGCATGTAGTTCCAGTACTTGTCTCCGGGCTCACGGAACGAGGTCATGAGCTGGCCCATCTCTGTTGCACCGTAGTGTCCGACGAGATACACACCCTCCTCGACGAGACGGTCACCGAGGTCATCGGGACAACTGCTGCCGCCATACAGCACCAGCCTAAGCTTCTTCAGCGCCTCAATGCCGCCCTCAGTCTCTGCGAGCAGCTTCAATGCGTACGGCACGCAATGCAAACTTCCCGGCTCCGTCGCAGCCATGGCTTTCACCAGCGTGGTCCCCGAGAGCGGCAGGTTAGCGTTGTAGATGGCGATCCTGTGTCCCGCGACGATGGCGCGGAAGAGCGTTGAGATGCCGTGGTTGTGGAACAGCGGCAGCGTCAGGAAAGCGCGGTAAGGGATGCCGCTCGAGTAGTTGGAGACGCAGGCGGCGTGCGTCTGGAAGATGGGCTTGGGCAGACCCGTCGAGCCGGATGAGTGGACGATGAAAGAGATGCGCTGGGAGGCCTTGGGGTGCGAGAAGATGGGGAAGCGCTCGCCCGAGGGCGTGGGCAGGTCGTAGTCGACCCTGTCGAGAATGCTGAACGATGAGATGGGGTATTGCTCGCTGATTTCGGAGGCTATGCTGCTGTAGCGGTCTGAGATGACGACGCGGTTGCAGTTCGTCTTCTTGAGGAGATTAACGTAGGCCTCAGGGGAGAGACGCGTTGAGAGGTAGAGCACCGCGAAGCCCATCCTTGACAGGGCGAACATGGTGACTACATAGTTGATATCTGAGTTGGCAAGAAGCGCGATAACCTCTGCTTGGGCTGAGTTTGGGTTCTGGTCATGGTGAGTATTACAGACGCTGGGGGTGGTCTCAATGAGACAATGTAGATGCATACCTCTGGGAGAAGCCCAGCTTGGGCATATTTGCGCGCGGCTTCATCGGCAAACCGATCAAGGTCCTTGGCGGTATAGTTGACATAATCATCTCTTCCACGGGCCGTTGCCGGGTATGCCAGAACATCGACATCTGGTGCCTCCTCTACCCTTCTCAAAAGAAGGTCTGTGACGGTCCTGGGTTGCTCGACGGGCTTGACAGTCTCGACGATCTCAACTGTCGGCTTCTCAGAGGTGAGGAGTGACCTCGCCGCCACGCCTTCCGTGTGAATCGCCATGGCTGACAAGGTAAGGTATGAGACTGGGGGAGGTAAATGAAAGTATGAGTGAGAATGGGCTCAATCGGGAATCATGCAAGTGAACGAACTTGAGAGAGAAGACGAGCCGGTATTAAAGTCTTCAACATTAAGTCGCCAGCGTACTCATCCAATTCATCCGTGGCGCAATAGTGACTTGAAGACGGTTTTGGAGAACAGAGCCAGAGCCCAGAAGCAAGCCTCTAATATCCTTTCACCATCTTCTGCACATCCAGGCAGCCCCCCATGTCCTTTCCCATGTTCGTCTGGTTCCTAACAAACACGCACTTCCGTCCCTCCTGTTCGCGGTGCTTTGCAGCTAGACAGCCACCTAGGCCAAACACCCTCGCTCCCGGTGGCAATGGAAAATTACCGTCCGCGCCTGTGCTGTGCCTATGCTGCTCACAGCAATCTCTCAAAGGGGTCACGGGTGCGTGCCGAGACAACCGACGGAAAAGCACACCGGGCCCTGGAAGACACGGAAAAGCACCACACCGGCTACCGGCCGAGACGCACGGGCCAATTCCGGAGAGCCATGTGCCGGTGGCTTTCACCCCCTTCCCGTCGTCCCGTTGCCCTCCTCCGAGTCGATCGGATCGGAAGCTGGGAGTATTTCCGACTGATGGCTGGGTCTCTGTGGAGGAATCCGCCGAGTTGTCAGAACACGCGGGGAGATGTGCGGGGGGAGTCGGACGATGTTGCTGTTGGAGGGCCACAGTTGCGGGGTTTCGCCAGTTGAAGGAGAGGGGTATTATTGTTTATTATGAGAAGGCTTCTGGCCAGCGCGCGTGGAGAGACGGTCATGAGCGATTGTAGTATTGCCTCTTGTTGAGAATCTGTTTATTTATTTTGTGAAGAAAAGATGTCTCAGCACTTTTACGACGAAGCAGAGGACCTCGTTCTCGATGCCCTCGAGAGCTTGGTGCTGCAACATTCAGGCCTAACCTTTGACAAGTCTAAGAAGAGTACGTGACTCTCACCTCATGATAGCGACTTTTATTCTTCAGACACTAACGATTCATGATGAAATAGCTGTGTGGCTCACCAATAATGACCCCCAGAAAGTCTCCATCCTCTCCGGAGGCGGCGCCGGCCACGAGCCCGCGCACGCCGGCTTCGTCGGCGACGGCATGCTCACCGCCGCCGTCTCGGGCTCTATCTTCGCCTCTCCCAGCGTCGCGCAGATCCTCTCCGGCATCTCCCGCGTAGCCTCCCCCGCCGGCGTCCTGCTCATCATCAAGAACTACACCGGCGACGTCTTCCACTTCCACTTGGCCGCTGAGAAAGCGAAGGCCAGTCTCGGCGCGCCCGTCGAGGTGCTCATTGTCGGCGACGACGTATCCGTCGGCCGCAAGAAGAGCGGCAAGGTCGGACGGCGCGGGCTGGCGGGGACGGTGCTGGTACACAAGATCCTCGGCGCGTACAAGGAGACAGGCGCATCGTTGGCGGATGTGTTGAAGCTGGGCAAGACGGTGACTGAGAACTTGGTGACGGTTGGTGCGTCGCTAGAGCATGTGCATATCCCTGGTCGCGAGGCCGCGGCGCCGTCGGCTGGGGATCAGGTTGAGCTCGGCATGGGTATTCACAATGAGCCCGGGTGCCAGGTCCTGAAGCCCAGGCCGGAACTGCCGAAGCTGATTGACCAGATGTTGACGCAGCTTCTGGATCCCAAGGACTCTGACAGAGCCTATGTTGACTTCTCTGATGCGAAGGATGTTGTTCTGTTGGTGAACAACTTGGGTGGTGTTTCGCCGCTTGAGTTTGGCGGAATTACTGCCAAGGTCGTCAATGCTCTCGGTAAGAGTTGGCTCCTGTGATTATGACAAGGGAAATTGCTGATCGTTCAAAGGCGCCAAGGGACTCAAACTGGCTCGTGTCATTTCGGGAACGTACATGACGAGTCTCAACGGCCCCGGCTTCAGCATCACCCTGCTCAAGGCCACCCCTGATATTCTCAGGTACATCGACGCCAGCACCGACGCCATCGGCTGGGCATACTCGCCGCGCAATGAGACGGCCAGCGACCCCAAGCAGCGGATCACCGAGAGCGCGGACGCTGGCCACGGAGCAGACGGCGCAAAGAGCGGAGTTGAGTGTATGTTGAAAACCCACCTTCGCTCCTTATTCCCTAACTGACAATCTTTGACATAGTGAACGTCGACGTCTTCAAGAAGGTCGTCGCCGAAGCAAGCAAGCGCATCGAACATGCCGAGCCCCAAATCACCGACCACGACACCAAAGTCGGCGATGGCGACTGCGGCGTCACCCTCCTGCGCGGCGCCAAGGCCGTCTCCAAGTATGCGTCATCCACCGCCCTCACTTCCGACGCCGTCCGCACGGCCATCGACTTGACGAATGTGATCGAGGACAACATGGACGGCACCTCGGGCGCCATCTACAGCATCTTCTTCGCGGCGCTGTCGTCGGAGCTGCGCAAGGCGAGCGCGGGCGTGCTCGACACGAAGGCGTGGACGAAGGTGGCTGTCGGTGCGCTGGGGACACTGCAGCAGGCGACGCCGGCTAGGCAGGGAGATCGCACGCTGTTGGATGCGTTGGAGCCGTTTGTGAAGACGCTGGAGCAGACGGGGAGTGTGAGCGAGGCTGTGAAGGAGGCAAGGAAGGGGGTGGAGGCTACGAAGGGGATGGCTGCGAGCTTGGGTAGGGCGGTGTATGTGGAGGAGTCTGCGTGGGGGAAGGTTCCTGACCCGGGAGCCGAGGGCGTGTTGGCTATCTTGGAGGGACTTGAGGCGGCGACGTCTTAGCAGGGGTCACGATGATGAATTTGTTGGCGGAGCCAGAGTTGTAAATATTTGAAGGTACAAGCTAATGCGTTTGATGATGATTGTAACACGTCTTGATTGATAAGACTGGGTCTTTCCAAGGATCATACAGCCAGCACATATCGATTGTGCCTGGGCAAGACCATGTCTCGCCTGATATCAAAGTACATATTTCGCCATCTATGCAATAACCAGATCTTCTCCGACGACAAGGGTGATATTTAGAATCTTAGTGAGTCGTCATTTAGCAATGCTTCCAAGCCCCCAAAGCCAGACGTGACCTGCGCAGGAAAGTTTAGTCAAAGGTTCGCAGACACAAACATCGAGCAACAACTTACCATGGAATCGAATTGACCCCAGCTGGTCATGTCAGCTAGCGAGCTACTTGGGCTAGCATCGAACCCCACAAAGTCCTCGGTGTGAGCGACGTCCGAGAAGTTGATTCCTGCCAGGTGATCAGGCTGTTGGTTGTGGACATCTTCTGCCGCACGAGCTGCCAAAGACCCGCCACCATTCTGGTTATTATGGACTGGGGGGCTATGGAGGCGTTCAGTCTGTCTAAGAGCTTCCGTCCGGAGCTCTTCCAACACTAGGCAGTACCGCGCGGCCAGCTGGGACTCGTTGTCCGCGAGCGTGGCGAGCTGTGTCTGGCAGCGTGTCGCGGCGGCGAAGTAGGACTGCCACGTCTCTGCGGGCGCCGTCCGCTGCTGTATTGTGTAGACATAGAGAACGACGACGGCGGAGAACGCGAAGTAAGATGTGAACTGGGCCGGTATTAGCAGGACTCTGCAAAACGATGTAAATGAGATGTCTGACCCAGAATGCACGGAACAGCTGGCCTGCCTGGATCAGGTCGTTCACTGTATCTACAACATGCATGGCCGCGTCCAAGCACGCCTGGACGCTGTCGCCGGCTTGGTCCTTGTGTGGTACACTTCGACGACGGCTCTTGCCGTTCCGTTGTAACCTCGCAAAGTTGCTGAGGAGGAACGGCCGGTGGGTTAGTATCATGGCGTGCCAGTAGGCTAGATTCAAAACGTTTCTTTGTCGTTGGAATATTGGTATGAGAAGGGCCATGTTGATGCCGTCGTCGAGAAACTGCGAGAGCTCGGCTCGCCATTGCTTCAGGTTCTGCGAGTACTTCGCTGCCAAGGCGCAGCGGTTGGAGAATGAGGAGGGGCGGATGGAGTAAAGATCTCTCAAGATCATGCTCACTATTCGTGAAAGCCTACCTCGAGTCAGTGTCTCATGCAACACACATGCGGGACGGTCCGCACTTACTTGACGTGAGCCACGGGAGCCAGCATAAGCGACTGCCCGCGTCCCATGCGGGGTGTGATGTGGTCCGCATGCAGATCGCCGTCTTCCGAGCACGACGGGAGTTCCTGGTCGATGTCTTCATCGTGGAACGTCCTGGGCCGGCCCAGTGCGGCGCTGAGGTAGTTGTCGAGGCTGTACGCGCACCAGAACGTGCGCCGACGACACTCGAGCTCAATGTAGTTGTACGCGCCCGCCGGGTCGGCGTGGCGGTTCCTGTTGAGGCCGATGGCGAGGGCCAGGTGTCCGACGGTGCCGAAGAGACTCCAGCAATGGTTGATGCGGGACTGTGATAGTAGCCAGAAGCACTGGCATAAGCGAGCCTGTACGCTGGCTAGGCGGACGGCACCGCGCTCTTTGGATAGCTGGTGATCTGCAGCCAAGAAGTATCGAGCGCTGGGTCGGGTGTGTTAGACCAGGGGCTTTGGTTTGTGACAAACATGCGTGACGGGTGCGACGACGGATATGATGTGTTCCCCAAACAGAGGGCAGTAAAAGCAAACATGAAACTTACCTGACGTCCGCGTTTTCACGGGTCTGAGTGGTGACCATGTACTCCTGGGCCTGCGCAAACACCATAAATAGAACGGCCCTCCGCGCGGGAGCATCCTCCTGGCTCTTCATCGCGCCGTTGGTGGCATAGAACTCTTCAAGCCAGCCTTCGACGGTGGGGCGATGGAGGAAGCGGTGCGTTGGCACGGCGAAGTCAAAATATCTCTTGAGCAGCGTTGTCGCCTCATCCTTGGACAGCAGGACGCAGAAGGCGCCGCTGGGGTCAAAGTCAGGGAGAGGGGCATCACCAAAAGTGAAAATGGAGGAGGCTTGTGAGAAGGAGACGGCCTGGTGTAACCTCTTCTGGACCCTCAATAAGAAAGACACTCCAGAAGAGGGGCCGACATAGTGGCCCTGGAGGTCTGTCTGCGTAGGTTCAGGAGACGCCCGCGAAGGAGGCTCGGCAGTCCCCGCGCCGACGCTGCCAATGACAAGATTCGATCCGTTCATGATGCTTTCCTCTTGTTGATGATCGTGCTCATGGTCAACATCAGGCTCTCCGACGTCGACGACGATGGATGCCATCAGGGCATCTTCGCCAGCCGCACCAGATGATCCGGAGACGGCACCACCAGCGGAATTGCTGCTGTTCGAGCCGTTTCCATGCGTTCCCGCAGGCGGCGGTACCGAGACGTCGAGGCCGTCGAGGTCCATTCGGGCGACATCTTCCCGAGTTGCCACGGGCGGCTGGCGCCCGCGTGCATAAGACGCGTTGTACGTGCAGTGGGACTCGGTGCGGATGCACAGCTCGCACGGCTGGATCCCCGTGCAGCGGATCTTGCGCTTCTTGCACCTGTCGCAGGCCCGGGTGACGCGGACGCGTTCCTTGTCGCGGTGGCGCCGACGTCTGCCGCTGTCTGGCAGAGGCGTCGTGTTGGACGGGTGTGTTAGGGGTGGAGAAGCCAGTTGCTGGTTGTTCCCGTTCGTGTTGTTAGTGGTATTGCCGTTGATGCTTGATCCGTTGATGGTTCCGTTGCCGTTGATGGAGCTGGTGCTGTGGTGTCGTTGGCCGTGGTTATCCAGGACATGCTGGTGATGATGATGTGAGTGGGAATGGCGGCGGTTCCCGCCATTCATGGTGCTGCTGCTGCTGCTTGCGGCAACGTTGATGCTGCTGGCATTGCCGATGTCGCCTGTGCTCCCGATGCCGATGCCGACACCGGAGCCTTCGTCAGAGTCCAGGTCCATTGCCGGAACCTCAGCCTAGCTCTGCTCTTCTCCGTCAAGGCCCAGAGGGCGGAGGAGACGGGCAGACGGACGGACGGCGGAGCGCGGATGCGGGTGCGGTTGTGCAGTGCCCGGTTCAGCCCCCAGCAACGCAAACTAACAGCGAGCAATTTGGCGCAGCGGCGGCGGCGGCAGACTCCCCTGATCCTGCTGCTGCTGGAGACACGGAAACATGGCCCTCGAGCGCACGCAGACTCAGAGTGGGAAATGGGTGGAAGGGGAAAAGAGAGGGACCCAGGGCGGGAACGTGGAGGAACGGAAATGTCACCTCATTCTTAATCCTTTTGGGAATGGGGAGACAATGCGGGGTACCCGGCCGCCCCCATTTCTTAGTCTCCCCCGGTTGGGACGGGCATCCTTGCGGGACATGGCTATGCTCTTGCGGGGAGATGCCCCGGGCGCCCGAGTCGAATGATTGTGTTTTGTTTTCATAGAATGGTGGTATTGGCACGAGGAGCAGACTGGATTGGAGGGAGGGGCACATGCGAAGAGTCAAGGGTTTTGTCTGTGTCTGTACAGTGAAGTGTGTTGGGGACATGGGGAAGAGGAAGAACACGAGATCCCGGAGATGAGCCTGTGTTTGGGTGTAATAGGGCCACAGGGATGAAGGTCGCCCTCTTCAGCCTCAGAAACGTGGAAGCAAAGGAAGATTGTTCTAGAGCTGCTTCCGGCGAGTAAGTCATTTCAGAACAACCAGGGATCTGCAGACGCACGCACCAACATGGACCAAGTGAGTCTGGGGTAGGTAGCCAACAGGGTTATATATATCCAGACGCGCGAGGAGGTGGCGTGTTTAATCAGGTTTTTGTCTGTTTCTGTTGGCGGTAGTTTGACGAGGTCATCAGTAAGAAGGCGTGTTAATTGCTGGGTTTGTTCTACTATCAAGACCTTCATCAAACTCTGAATTCATGACAACGTTTCTGATAATAGTAATCGATCCATTTAAAAGATCGCCACCGCGTTGGGAGGACTAGCAACGCCTCCAGGCACCTAAAGGTCGCGAGTAAATAACAAATTCATCTTCACCTCGTCTAATGAAGCCAGTTAGGGTCACCAGACTCACCTTCAATGGCACGCTGCTCACGAAGAACGTCCACCTCTTGAGCTCCTCGCACTTGACACTCAACGCCTCGAGATCAAACATCTCCCCAATCGGCAGTCCCCATCCGCCCAGCAGCCACTGATGCAGCAAACCTCCGCTCTGCATCTCCTCCTCCCACGCCTCGCCCTTCCACACCCCTCCCACGGCGGTATGAGGCCCCGCGATGGGCGCCCTCTCGAAGCTCGGCGCGTCGCCCGCCACGGCCGCAAACCCAGTCTCCCAGATCCACCGCAGCACGTCCTTGGTCGGCTCGACGCCGAGGAAGTCGGGGCTCGCGCGCGCGGCGACGGCCTTCTGCGCGGCGTCGTCTTTGGCGTTGTAGCCCGACGTGAAGCCCGAGCGGATGAGCAGAATGTCGCCGGACTGGAAGGTGACGTTCTGCTCGGCGGCGACCTGCTTCAGGTGCTCGAGGGTGATGTCGCTGCTCGTGAAGGCGTCGAGCGGGAGTGCGTGCCGGGCGCAAAAGCTTGCGTAGTCGAGCAGGACGCCCCGGCCGACGATGCCACCCTGCTCGACCCAGGCTTTTTTGTTTATTAGTTAATGAAACAAATGCAGCGCAGCGCAGAGACCGCGGCGCGACACGACTCACCGTCGATGCCGATCTTTTCTTGATTTTCCAGGTCGTCTTGAGTCGTGTTGTTGTAGTACCGCTTGGCTTTCTGGTACCCTTCGTCTGAAGCGTTAGCTGCTTGATCCTTGTTCATGTCCTGCTGCCCTGAAGCATCATCACTAAATACCGTAGTGCCTGAACCCGTCCCACTGGCTGCTGCACTGCGTGTTGAAGTGCAAGATGTCGTCGTTGACCGTCCTCTTCTCCCCACTGGGATGCGCCCGGTTGACGAGCTTCGACTCAAACGGTGTCCGATCGAAACTCGGCTGCGAGGGGTTGTTGAGCGACCAGTCCAGCGACACGCGCTCACCAGTCTTGATCTCTGATGCTGCTGCGGCGGCGACGATGGCTGGGGTCAGAAGGTTCAACGCCCCTAAGCGATCGTCTTTGCCGTAAAGACCCCACGCGTTTCCGGGAGGACCATTCGGGTCCAGGGGCAGCGACGAGAAGGGCGGTCGGGGTGGTAAACTAGAAGACATCATGAGAGAGGTGATTCTCGCAAAGTGAAGGCAAACTGTTGGAGATGAGAACAAAGACGAGGTGCGTAGTGATTGTGCAAGTCAAGACTCCGAAAATCGCTATCGGGGTGAAATGCGCCGGCGTCGGGGAGCCGGCGCCCACTGCTACGCCCGACTTAAAACCACTACAAAGCGGATTTGTTTCCTGTCGATGGACGGACAGGGCTATTAATCAAGCTTTCGTGTCATTTGTCTTGATTACTCGGAAACAGAACTCAATTTGAGTTGGTTTTCATTAAACGCCAGTGGCATGGTTTCTCATTCCACTGCCCTACATGTCAAGTTTCATTCTGTCCAAGTTGATGTTGGCCTAATAGATGTATCTAAAGTTCATGTTCTCCTGATCTGTCAAGTCCCCAAACGCAGTCGCATCCAAGTCCACCTCGGCAACTTCACCCTGCGCCCGATCGCGCCGCTCATTCTCCCACTTTAACAGGAAGCGCAGCGCAATGACGATGACAACTTCAAACAGATGTGCAACAATCATGCTCCAGATGCCAAACTCGTACTTGGGCGCCTGGTCGGACTTGTAAAAGAAGGGACCGGCAATGTTCCCCACGCAGTAACCCAGGAAGAGGCATGCTGATGTGACGACCTTTTTGGTGTGTCCCGCAATGTTTGCTGTTTGGAGTGAGAGAAGCAGCACGAATGAAGCGTTGATGGATCCGGTCAACTGGAAAATCACAATGAGCTTTCTGCCGCGGGAAACTCCACTGGACATGCTGGAGTGATAAGAACTCACGTAGTAGCAGATAAGTCTCCCGACTTGCTGGTCGTCGGGCACGAATCGTAGTCCAAATGCACCAACGACGTTGGGGAGCAAGAACAGGACCAGCATGAAGCATCGATTGTTGGGAGGAAGTCTGTCGTTGATGAACACGCAGACTAGGATGGCAATGAAAATGAGGACGCCGTAGGGGACCTGAAGAACGGCTGTAATGACTGTGACAATTTAGCGTTGACACAGAATGACACCCAAGGTGACGGATACGCACGCGTAGAAAAGTTGAACCCCTTGACAATCAATGTCCCAAAGTTCGACGTCCCCCCGTTCACGATGGCCTGAAGCAGCGCAATCATAAAGAAGAAGTACAGCTTGAAGTCGGTGAACGCCTCCCGAACCTGGTACAGCTTCCACGTCTTGTTCTCGACGCCAGTCTGGTTCTCCCTCAGCCGCTCAATCACGATCTTCTTCTCGCGCTGCGAGAGTGCCTTGCTCATGATGGGGTTATCCGGGAGGAAGACGGCGATGACAATGCCCCAGGCGCAGCAGAGGGCGCCGACGATGATGAACTCGTACTTCCATGATGCCAGGGCACCCTTGATGTTGCCGATGCCGTAGCCGAGCAGGCCCCCGAGGGCGATACCGATGCCGTTGGCAGTGTACCACAGGCCAATTTTGATGGGTTGTTCGCGCCGGGTGTACCACATACTTTCATCCTGTTACTCGATATCTTTTAGGCCATTGAGGTAGAGGGGAAGAACTATACCTAGTGATGATCATGAAGGCAGGGTCAGCGCAGGCCTCCGCTGCACCGCTTATTGCTCTGAGCACAGCCAAGACTGTGAACTTCGGCGCAACGGCCTGAAGCATGAGAAAGGTGCCCCATGCGAAGATGTTAACGCCAAGATACTTTGCGATGGGAAATCTCTGCAGCAAGAAGTTTGTGGGCAGAGCCCAGGCGAGAAAGCCAAAGTAAAACACCGAGGATAGCCAGCTGTACTCTGCACCCTTTAACCCAAGGTCTTTTTGGATGCCAAAAATGGCTGCGTAAGACATGGTAGTCTTGTCAATCTTTTCACAATCGTCAGATTTAGCCCTGGTCAACGGATCTCTTGGCGAGAGGTCAAGCACCGCTTGGCAGATAGACTTACGTAGAACAAGGCGTAGCAAACTGAGATGTAAGGAAGAATCATCCAATCAACTTTGCGGACGAGCTTGCGGTCCTCCTCAGGGCCGATAGGTTCATGGATCCCGCCCACATTGTCGAAGAGCGCCAAGGCAACATCACCTCCAGTCTTAGAAAGCTTGAACTTTTGGAGGTCTGCCTCCTCTATGCTCTCTAGCTGGGCTGCCGAAGGCTTTGATTCGTTGATCCCATCGGTGTTGGCTGTGGTCTGTTGCTCTGGCTCAGGGCTTTCGTGTGGGTTCATGGCAAAAGGCATCTCTTGGATTATGATTCGACCAAAATAGCTGATTGAAAAGCCAGAATCAATGGTTCAACAGAGATTTGAACGTTTCGGGGAAGAGAAGAACTGCATCTTTAAACAGTTAATGGCAATGCGCCACACATTCCATACTCACACTTGTCAGAGCATCCTCCCCCATGGACCATCGATAACACGGCAGAAACGCTCCGGGGAAAGCACGGGGAAGCGTCTCGCTACCCCCAACGCTTCCGGATAGCTTGCCGGATGGACGCATATTGCAGTTGCTTTGGTCCACACAGCGTCACACTATCTCAAGACACGCAAAGGCGATCAGAGTGCTTTTCCGTTGCACGTTTCCAAAGAAAGGTCCACATTGTTCATCGTATCCAATCATGTATTCATAACCATCCCGCTATCTAGTCTTTACACGGGAGATCTACAGGGACTTCTCAATCTTGTCGATATCCGACAACAGCAGCGCATCCAGCGACTTCCACGTCGCCTCGGCCAGACGTCCCTTGAGCGGCAAACGACCTCCCTCAAGCGCGCCGAAGCCGGCCTTCTGAATGATACCCTCACGGATACCGATGATACCGGTCTTGCCGATGAAGTCCTCAGCGCGGGACACGGCGTACTGCAGGCGCTGGACCTCCTCGAGGGTGCCCTGCTCGACGGGGCGCTTCTCGGAGAGCGCGAACAGGCGCGAGACGGTCTTGGGGTAGAAGGCGGCGAGGCCGTCGATGACGCCCGCAGCGCCGAAGAGCACGATGGGTGCGAGCTGCTGGCCGAAGCCGCTGTAGACGCGGAACTTGGAGTGGTCGATGCGCGGGTCGGAGGAGACTTGGAGGTGGAGGGAGACGTTGCCGTGGGACCTGGGCGCGTTAGCTTTGGAAAGTGAGCGTGAGGCGGTTGTGAGTCTTACATCTTGCAGCCAACGATCTTGGGGTGCTGGGCGAGGTCCTTGTACGTATCGGGCTCGACGAGAACGTTGTTTGTGACGCCAGGGTAGTTGTACCTATTCCAGTCAGCTCATGCTTCACTTTCAATGAGTGGTGCACTTACACAAGGATGGGCAGCGGGCTCTTGTCCGCGATCAAGTTGTACCACCCCTTGATGTTTTCCTGGTTCGCCGCCGTGCCAAAGTATCCCGGCACCAGGACCAGACCCCATTGCGCGCCAGCCTTGGCGTAGTCTTCCAGCCACTCGAGCGTCTCGTCGACGCCGTTCGTGAGCACGCCGGCCATGATGGGGTAGTCTGGGAACCCGGCCTCCTCTAGGCCCTTCTTGACGCCGGCGACGAGCTCGATGCGCTCGGCCTTGTTCAGGTGAATGGCCTCGCCGGTCGAGCCGAGGAGGACCAGGCCGCGGATGCCATTCTTTGCGAGGTAGACGCTGTGCTTGACCTGCGTCTCGACGTCGACCTTGGGCTGGAGGGAGCCTGACGACGCGGAGGCGGGGTGGAAGAAGGTCGGGACAGGGACGAAAACGCCCGTGGGGGGTACTCTGACGTCGGCCATTGTGATGGATGAATTTACTCGGAAAGGAACAGGAATTGAGACGGAAGAATATGAGATGACGGGTATCACTTTTTGTTTTTTTGCTTTGCAGAGATTCTTTCAAACAAGAACGTTCAGTTTTGTTGACAGCAACCACCCCTCAATTGTACCACTCACGATGGGCAAGCAAACGTGTCAGAGCACCCCCGGTCTCGGTCCTCTCGGCAATTCCGCGAAGAGCCAGCCTGCGCTCCGGGTCCACCAGGATGGCGTTTCTCGGGGTGTGATGACGCGGGGGTGGAGACGCATGGCGTGAAGCAACATGGGGGGTAGACTCGCGCGGGGAACAGTCCGATACGCCACGCCGCGTCGGACGCCATCGGCTACATGAGCGGCAGCGTTGCTCAGAAGCGGCGGAAAAGAGGTTTACCTAATGCTCTTCTCCGTAACACGGATGGGCGGCGCCCCGAAGATGCGGAAACATTGCAGGAGAGGGACAACTGACGACAGCCTCAAACTGGGGATATAAGACGAGCCTGTGAAATTTTTGTTCATGTGGCTTTCTGGAGTGTGACATATGACCAGTTGAGTGCGGATAACGATCAGAATCATCCGATTTTCATTTCCTCAGACGTACTTCCGTGAACGGCACATTTTGAGATACCCTGAATCATTCCGCAATAATGGCTTTACCTTCATCTTTCAAGCTCCTGTCGGGACACGAGATCCCCGCTGTTGGTCTGGGTACTTGGGTAAGAGGCAGCTGTGCAGTCGAGATGGGGGCAACTTCTGATGGCTTTGATGTGTAGCAATCCAGGCCCAATGAGGTCAAGAATGCCGTCGAGCATGCTCTGAAGAATGGCTACCGCCACATTGACGCGGCCGCGGTCTACGACAACGAGAAGGAGGTCGGCGCCGGCCTCAAGGCCTCTGGTGTGCCCAGGAAAGACATCTTCGTAAGCTACTCACCTCAAAGCTTATCGCCCTCTCGAGTTCTGACCCCTGCAGATCACCAGCAAGCTCTGGAACACGCACCACAAGGCCGAGGACGTCGAGACCGCGCTAGACATCACCCTCGCCGACCTTCAGACCGACTACGTCGACCTCTACTTGGTGAGACCCCTCCATCGCTCCTTGTTCACCCCACCCTACCCTTCTTCAACGGCCCGCCTAACGCAGCTATGTCGTGCATTAGATTCACTGGCCCGTGTCCTTCAGGAAGGAGAACGACACCAACCGCTTCCCGCTGCACCCCGTGACGGAGGCCGTGGACGTCATTGATGTCCCCGTCTCCGAGACGTGGAAGGCGATGGAGGACCTCGTCAAGAAGGGCAAGATTAGGTCCATTGGTGTCTCCAACTTCACCCGCGAGAAAATTGAGGAGTTGTGGAAGACGGCCGAGATCAAGCCGGCGGTGAACCAGATCGAGGCGCACCCGTACCTGCAGCAGCCCGACCTCTTGGCCTGGTCCAAGGAGAACGTGAGTAGTACCTACCTGTTCCCTGCTGACTCAAGAATGTTCCGTGGTTGCATTTGTGCGGAGGTTCGCTAATCTGGGGAAACATGCAGGGTATTGTTGTTACGGCGTACAGCCCCCTTGCCAACAACATTTACAACCTGCCTCGGTGAGTGGCACAATCTGAACGCTGTGTGTGTGGCCCGCAGACTGACAGTAAGTAGCGCCGTTGATGACTCCACAATCATTGAGATTGCAAAGTCTCTAGACAAGGAGCCCGCCCAGGTCCTCGTCAGCTGGGCTGTCCAGAGGGGAACCGTCGTGCTCCCCAAGTCCGTCACTCCCTCAAGAATTGAGAAGAACTTGGAAGGTACAGTCTACTTGCTCACGATGCAATTGGAGGAAGAAGTCACTGACATGTAACAGTGTTCGAGCTCCCCAAGGACGTCTTTGAGAAGATCAACTCCCTCGACAGGAAGCACCGCTACAACTTCCCCGCGCGCCTGGGCCAGGACATCTTCGGTGAGTCCGACCCGGAAACGCTCAAGAAGGCGGTTGAGACGTGGGTGGCACAGCAGAAAAAGATTAGAGCCGGCCAGGCATAGAACAGCATTCTTTGTGTGTAAGTTTGTCGTAATAGAGCAAGAAACACCCCCTAGATAGACTTGATGGAAACTCATGAAACCACCAATAAGAAGACCCAGACCTCGGTGAATGTTTTCCGTGTCCCTTTTCCTCACCGAACGGAAAAGTGCACACCGTAACCCCGCAGAGACCCGTTGCTCTGCTGGATCACATTCGGGTGAGGGTGCACCGAACCCCGCACTGTCTATGGAGTAGCTCCCCACTTGCCGTTTGCGGCCGGGTAATGGCCGCGGGCATTGCCGATGGAGATGCTGCTGCGGAGTCGGACGGGAGTGTGAGCACAGGCTCGGCGAGGTTCCGGACTATGTTCCGATGGGGGCGCATTTTGCTCCGTCAACTCCGTCACATCTCCGCTTTGGTAGGGTAATAATAGTTCACGATTGCCTCAAGAGTGTGTTATTCTTGCAAGCACACCATTGACTCGGCATCTCCCTTCCACAAAGCGCAATTGCTCTCTTTGTAACTATTTGCAAGGGTAACCCCTCATTTCATACGTCACACTACTAATCCCCACACGAGTTCATCATGGGCAAGATCGCAAAGATGGAGTACTTCCGGGTGCCGCCCAGGTGGCTATTCGTGAAGATCACGGACGAGGCGGGCAACGTCGGATGGGGCGAGGCGTCGCTGGAGGGGCACACCCAGGCTGTTGAGGGGTGTCTTGATGCTTGGTTCGAGAGGTATTCGGGCATGGAGGCTGAGTATGTTTATTGCATTCGTGGTCAAGAAGTTGTCGATGCTTACATGGCACAGCGACATCGAGCATATCTGGCAAATGTCATGGAGGACGACTTTCTACCGCGGAGGCCCTGTCTTCATGAGTGCGTTGGCGGGTATCGATATTGCGCTGTGGGACTTGAAGGGTGAGTTCGTCAGCCACAGTTGATGAAATACGTTACTGAGAGTCATGTAGCTAGAAAGCTGGGTCTGCCTATCTGGCAGTTGCTCGGAGGCAAGGTCAGAGACAAGCTGAAGGTGTACGCCTGGATCGGCGGTGACAGGCCGAATGACGTCGGAGCTCAAGCGTAAGAAACATGCGAATAATCTGCAACATGAGAATCGATGCTGACATGTTACACAGACAAGCAAGAAAGGATCAGGGCTTCAAGTGCGTCAAGATGAACGGCACCGAAGACCTCGGCTGGCTCGACTCCCCAAACGCCCTGGACGCCGCCGTCGAGCGCGTCAAGGCCGTGAAAGCCCTCGGCATGGATGCCGGTGTTGACTTCCACGGTCGTGTACACAAGCCCATGGCGAAGCAGCTCGCGAAGGCGCTCGAGCCGCATCGCCCTCTCTTCATCGAGGAGCCCCTTCTCTCAGAGCACTTGGGCGGCATCAAGGAGATCAGCGGCCTGACGTCTATCCCCATCGCTCTCGGCGAGCGTCTTCACAGCCGTTGGGACGTGAAGCCGTTCTTGGAGGCGGGCTGTGTTGATATCCTGCAGCCTGATATCTCTCACGTCGGTGGCATTTCTGAGATGCGTCGCATTGCGGCGATGGCGGAGGCGTATGATGTTGCGTTGGCGCCTCACTGCCCACTTGGCCCCATTGCCCTGGCTGCCAACGCCCAGGTTGATTTCACGTCGCCAAACTTTGTGATTCAGGAGATGAGCTTGGGTATTCACTACAACAGCACCGGACAGGATTTGACGAGTTACACGAAGAACCCGGAGGTCTGGAAGGTGACGGATGGATACATCGACCTTCTCACTGGACCGGGACTGGGTATTGAGATCGATGAGGATCAGGTTCGTCAGTTGTCAAAAGATGCCAAGGCGTGGGTGAGCCCCGGATTCATCGGGCCTGGTGGTGAGATTAGAGAGTGGTAGATGTCCGTCATACCTCACCAAACTGAAACAGAAAATAGCACATATGTAATACACCATATCAAAATCACTTGCCAAATTGAGGCGATTTCTGAATTATGCTAGCTGTATTTTGGTTCATCGACTCAAGGTGCCTTCTGAAGCCCTTCATGCTCCACAATCCACCCGCCGTCTTTGGGGAAGCCGGGCGCATCGCCTTCGGAACCCTGCCATCCAGCAACCATGTACGCGACTGCAGTATATGTTAATACTCCTCGACGCTCTCATCAAGACTTCATTTCATGACATTGCTCTTACCAGCATACAGGAAGCCAGCATTGCCCGGCATAAAGGGTGGAGGTGTGCCGCCTACTACCAGTTAGCAATGCTTGAGATAATCATCCGTAAAAGGGTACACATACCGTCTCCCCCGCGGACAGCAAATCCAGCATCATCGAAAGTCCAATAGCTGTACGCTGTCAAGTGATAAACAGCACGTTCCGGGTTTCCGATCCGTGCAGAGTTGATCGCCAACACAGGTCGTCCCCATCCTCGAATCTTCTGGTCTGTCCACACTTCCCACACCTTATCCGCCGTTCTCAGAGCCACCTCGGGATCCACAGCAGGCGTGTCCGGCAGCACGCCCTGCATCATGATGAGGCTGCGCGGGTCGCCGTTGAGAGCGGGATCATCCCACCAAGAGCTGTTGAGGCCTTCGTAGACGGCGTAGAGCCCGTCGATCTGAGGCGGAGTGGCGAGCTTCTCTGCGACAGTGGTCCATTTATCCGGGACATTTTGGCCAAGTCTTTTCTTCCATTCTCGGGCTGTGTCGATACCGTATCTCCAGTATGCGATCTACAAGCAGGTGAGCTTCGGCATTCAGACGAGTGGATCACGCGGACATACCTCGTAAGCCAAATTGAGAGTCTCTGCGGGAGGAGTGTTTTCTGTCACGCCGTACGAGCTATAGAATATGTTGTCAGTCTCAAATGTGAACATATTGCATTTTGAGTATCAAACTTACGGTGGTCCCAGGTCGTAGTGACCTGATGTCTCGTTGAACCATGCGTATGACGCCATGTAGTCAGCGGCAGCCGTGACCACCTCGTCCCATCGCTTCAGTGTTTCATCCGTTGGCGAGGACTGGTATGCTAACTCTGCCAAATACATAGTATGGGGCTGTCGATGTCAGCGTTAATATCTTTCTGACGATATTCTGGTCACTCACTTGCTGCCAAAGTAGCAAGCCATTAATCCCACCTGGCGAGCTAACGCCAGTCTCGAGCTCCGTCATTTTTGGCCACCTAGGAACTCCGTTGTGAGTTTGAAATTCATATAATTTTAAACTGCTCATGGAGGCAACTGACCTGGCTCCTTCCCATCCCATGGCTTTAGCCCTCGCAACAGAAGAGGGCAAAAGCGTCTCATAAAGCTGTGGAAAGATGTTGTCGAAGTACTTCTTCCGACCCCATGTCACCCAATGCGCATTGTGCCATACAACCATTTCCATATGAAACTTTCCTGGGTTGCGTCAATGTTGTACTCAATTATTATGGATCCAAGAGAACACTGTTATTCCAACTTACCATACCACCCATTATTCATCAGCCCACTCTCCTGGGGTGACTGTCCTGAAGCTGCGCTGTTGACGCGGACGTGATACTGTGATAAGATAATGCGTCTTTGCAGCTCTGTAGCATTAGGGTTCGACGAAAGAGTGAGGTCAACAAAGCCGCCCTCACTCCAATACTCGTGCCAACCAATTACGTTTCGCTCCTCCACTGTCGAGGGGATGTCGGGATCTTGACGATCTGGCGAAAAGTGCGCAGTAAAGAGAACCGAGCTCGCCGAGCTGTTAGACGCCAAGGTGTATCGATGGGCAGTGATCTTTTCAGAACCTTCTGGCTCGTCCCTCGACAAGTGGAGTGAAGAGTTAGAAGGCCAGCGCAGATTGACATAGTAGCTGGTCTCTTGTAGCTCGTGGTAGATGTGTGCCAAGTCAGGCCTTCCACAGCTGTTCACAATGCGAGTGGTGTGGTTCAGCGGGAAGTCGTAGACTCCGGCGAAAACCTCGTATTTGTACTTGGTCGAGTGGATTGGCGGGTAGGGGAAGTCAAGTTCAACTTGTAGATCGCCTGCTGCCACAAGTTTCGAATCAATTTGGAACATTACAGCATCAGTGTCAAAGTCGCCCTGTGTGATCACCTTCACTGTCTCGCCGTCTACTCTGAATGTAGACGTGATGGTTCCACTCCATAGCTCTAGCTCCTGCCTCGGATCGGTGACTTTCTCCGCTGAAAGAGTCGCTCCTTTGTACTTCAGACCAATACGCCCCAGGTTGATGCGGTTAGGGTTGCCTATGAGCCATTGAGATACTGCGGGAAGATTGGGATCGGGGATGTCGTATGAGACGTTTCGTCCGTGGGTCAGTCGGGGCACGCCGGTGTAGTCGCTCAGCTTCTCGCTGCGGTCTCGGTCAGCACGCAAATGCACGGAAGATGGGTCGTTTTCGCCCTACCCATTCGTGGGCAACGAATCGTTATGCCATGCCCAACTTGACAGAGTGTTAAAGGGCAGGAACGTCTATGGTCTGTGTTAGGGATTCCACATGGCCAGGCGTCGGGATGCAACCCTCACCTGCAAGCCCGTGTTGTCGACATTGAAAGCAAAGTTACCATTGCCGACCTGCAATGGCGTAGTCTCATTGTCAATCAAGCCCGTTCGAACGACGTTGAATTGGGAGACTATTCGTTGTCTTTGGACTTATTAGAAAAATTGGATCTATTACCCAGAATAAGAGACGTACCTGTCGATGCTCCCTAGAGCCAGAGCCGACAGCAAGGCGACCCAGACTAACTTCGTGATTATCATTGTGAACATACTAGAATCAGCAGCAAAGAGTCGAGCCCGCTTCAAAGGCACCTCTTGAACTGACAGAATGCCCTTCTTTGCCAACGGTTTTGTAGCAATTCATCCGGAATAATTGCCCCTCCAAATTCCTCCACACGGATGATGATCCGGGAGAAACGGAACCCAACCCCTCCTGTTTCCCAACAGCTTGGTTCATGACGTCTATCGCGCCTTCAATTAGCCCGAGGCCATCCTGAAGGAACATAAACAGGAAGCTGCTGGCCTGTCTTGGGGGCACAGGAGGGGAGATCTGCGCGGGGTCACTGCAGAGGAAGACTAGGTTCCCCAACAATGGAACTCCGCCCCTGAAGCTTCTTACATTTAGGCTATGCGGGGTAGCTTGCCGATCGCGACCCTCGCAAGCATGAAATATTCTTCTCGGACATGCAGGGTTGATAAGTGGCTTTCAATACCCTAGACTCTTTGTTTCTCATGGTAAGATTTATGGCGCATTGCATGGCTGCTTATCACATGACACTAATCGTTTTTGAAGAAGAGCACATGGTAGATCAATAAACCTCAGTGGATGGATGCTCAATCCCATTGAATGTCACTTCAGCAAATATCCTTCTGGAGACTCTTGCATGATTACTCTCTAAGCCCGATCTCAATGCTCGAATCCAACTCCCAATGGTCCGTTCAAGTCTCTAAAGTCACCCCGAAGAACCTCAATACCATCTCTCTTCACCTCCTCTACAAGCTCCTTGATCCTCGGCGCCATCCTCGTCGCCTTGAAACCAAAATAGTCGTACGCTGCCTTGGACGGCAGACTCTTGCCAAACCGGCGCATCGAGAACGAAGCATCGGCGTACCTCTCCCAGCCATTTGCCGCATACGCCTCAATTACCACCATCGGCTTGCCCGAGCGCGGCTTCAAGACGGACTGCTTGTATTCCCGCGACTGCTGCTCAAACAGCCGTGGGCACGGGAATGACACCACACGCGCCTTGACGCCGTCCTTCTCCAGAAGCTCCTTCGTCTCCATCGTGAAGCCTATTTCTGAGCCCACGCCGATAAGAGTCACGTCAAAGTCATCATTCTCGACGAAGACATAGGCGCCCTTAGTAACGCCGTCACGAGACGAGTGCTGAGGGTATTGCGTCAGGTTCTGACGCGACAGAGAAATAATGGTGGGCGTCTCGGTCGAGTTGATGGCCGTGATGAAGGCGCCGGCCACTTCTTCCGAGTCGCACGGGCGGATGTAGAGCGTATTCGGCATGGCGCGGTATAGCGCGGGCAGGGCGATGGGCTGATGCGTGGGACCGTCCTCGCCAGTGCCGATACTGTCGTGGGTTGCGATGTGGATTTGCTGGAGGCCTTGCAGGGCGGCCATGCGAACGGCGGGCGCGGCGTAGAGGTAGAACATGAAGAAGGAGCTGGTGACGGGGATGAATGTGCCTTTTCTGAAGGCAGCTAGGCCGTTGGAGATTGCGCACATGGCGTGCTCGCGGATGCCGTAGTGGATGTAGCGCCCGGAGTAGTCTCCGTTTAAGTTGCATGCGGTGCGAAGCTCGGGCTGGAGGCATGGTTAGAGGCAGTCCTTGATCATGGGCGCAGAGAGATTGGACTCACAGATTGGAAGTCAACCTTCTGGTTGTATGCGACATTGCATGACGGGGTCAAGTCGGCGGTGCCGATCAGGAAGTTTCTCATCTTCTCTCCGAGTGGGTTGCCCACAATGCCCGCAGACTTTCGAGAAGACGTGGGCTCCGTCGGGAGCTGGTCGTGGCTCGGGATGTGCTTTGTCCAATCGTCGGGCATCTTTCCGTCCACGCGGAGCTTGAATTCGGCCGCGAGCTCGGGGTGCTCCTGGGAGTACTTCTGGATAGTTGAGGACCAGTCCGCTTCGTAGGTTTTGCCGCGCTCAACGGCGTCAGCAAAGAAGTCGTAGACGTCCTTCGGGATGTGGAAGTGTTCATCGGGGTTTAGGCCGAAGCTCTTCTTGATGTTGGCAACATCGTCAACACCGAGGGCGGCGCCATGCGTCTTTGCGTCACCAGCTTTGAGTGAGCCGAATCCAATCGTTGTACGAACGTTGATGAATGTTGGACGGTCGCTGCTTCGCGCAGCAATCAGAGCGTTGGCAATGGCTGGAGATAATCGAGTCAGCGAAGAGTCTATGAAAGAAGCATACCCAAGAAAATAACCTACCGGCAACGTTGGAGTTTCCATCAAGGACCTCCAAAACATTCCACCCAGTCGCCCTCATCTTGGCGTTGATATCTTCCGTATTCGCCACATCCGCTGTTCCATCACACGTGATCGAGTTGTTGTCGTAGATAATGCAGAGATTGTTGAGCTTCCAATGGCCTGCTAGTGACACCGCTTCAAGGCCAACGCCTTCTTGAAGACATGCGTCGCCGATCATACACCAGGTCATGTTGTTCACCACCTCAAATCCTGGCTTGTTATATGTTGCCGCGAGGTTCTTCGTCGCCATCGCAAGACCGACCGCATTCGCTACGCCTTGGCCGAGAGGGCCTGTTGTGACTTCGACGCCTTCATTCTCGATTTCGGGGTGGCCGGGACAAATGGAGTCGGTCTTGTCGGAGTGGTATGATTTCAGCTGCTCGACTGTCATGCTCTTAACACCGATGAGGTGCATGAACAGATACTGCCAAAGGCAAGCATGGCCTTGTTTACTATTAGCACTCAGACTGAGGGAATGAAATATCAAGGGAGACTTACCATTTGAGAGAACGAATCTATCTCGGTTGAAGTATTCACAATTACTTGGCGAATACTTCATGACATACTTGTAAAGGGCAATGCCAATAGCTGCCATTCCCATGGCGGAGCTACACCGAAGGTCAGACAAGGTCGCAAATTGAAGAGCCAAATGATCATCGTAGCTTACCCTGGATGACCGCCATTGAACTGCTGACATTGATCAGCGATGAAGGCCCGGAACACCTTCAACACTCTGTCATGTTTGTCCGAGCTCTCGAATTGGAAGTCAGTCACTGCCGGAACACCATGAACATTCGTGACGTTCGGCTTCACTGGCAGATTCTGAGTGGCCTTCTCGTAGAGCTCAAGTGACGGCGCCATGTTGTTGGATGCTGTTGTTACTATGCTGCCCGGCGTGTGCTTCTTTGATGGTCTTCGAAGCGCTGTTGGCCCATGGTGAGGCTGCATAGCTTTTTCTTATAACTTGTTGAAACCCACGTCATGTTGCTTTGTCTGTGGTCGTCATGCCGCCTGAGGGCGAAACGAATTGCCCCGCGTCGTCCGGCTTGTGGTTTAACATCCGATGCGACGCCGGATCATCGCCCATGGGAAAAGGAGTCTGGTGCGGGGATGGCCCTATCGCAGCTCAGTACCACTCGCAATGAAGAGACGCTGAAGACGGTTCTGAGTCGATGATGGTCAAGATGGAATCTGTCCCGAAGCGAGGTGCCACGAAGCGAACCCAGTGCCTGTGTTGTGGATGACCTCGCGTCGAGGCCACAATTGTGGATCCTTTTCAAGCACGCGCCATGGGAATGCGTCAGACTCCAGAGCTCACTCCGGGATGACTTATCCAGGTTGCAACGGGAGCATGTCTCTTCTCTGGATGTCTCCCTGAGCATGTTTCACTCAGTCAGGTACGGATCTTGGAATAGGAAGCGAAGGATTCGAAAACTATAGGCGGCGAAAGATGATCTAGCAGACTATTCTAGCGTAGTATGCTCCCGCCGGTTAACACGCCATCTGAACTATGAAAACAACACGTCGCCGCTCAATACCACTAAATTTGTTGGCGCATTTGCGGGGGCTGCGGGGAAACAAGCAGGGGTTTGAGGCGCTGAAACCGCTCTCCACTGGGCATTCCAATTTACTTAAAGGCTGGAAATGCCTCGAGACGAAGCCGGGCGCTCGACTGATTTCGATGTTTTCCAGATCGCCAACCAGGCCCAGCGAACCTTACTCCGTCGAGAGCCTCTACTCTCTGCGAGAGCGACACTATCCTCGACGCGAGATCGGCCAATGGAGGCACCCGCAAGCAGCAGACGACGGTCAATGGCCTCTTCGGTTGCGACACCTGGGCAAGAAAGTCGACCGCGACGAGTCCGGCCGTCTCGAGCACGAGGCCTACGAACATCCACAGGATGGTGAGTTCTTCTGTTTGTGTATTTTTGTGCTAAGTGGGGTCCTCCATTGCTAATTCATGCGTACTGGCTGCAGTTTGACATGTAGGAGGCGGCGTATCAAGTGTGACGAGGGAAAGCCGAAATGCGCCCAGTGTTCCAAGTCAGACCGTGACTGCCAGTACGCCCAAGCTCCCACCAGCGAGAATGACTCAGAGACTCATCGACGCGCGGACTCTACGGTTTCCAACGCCGATCAAAGTGCCGAGGCCGACAGCGTCGAGGATGCTGTGCCAACTACGGAACCTGCGGAGAGTGCACTAGCCACTTCGCCAGCCGCAGCAGACACAACAGCATCACCGGCCGCTCGTCCGGTCGACTTGACGGCACCTTTCGTGTCCTCCTTCAACCCGGCCGGCCCACTCAGCGTCGACAACAGCGCCTTACAGCCCACTGCAGTCTCTGATGCGGATCTCGGCTTCTCACCCCTAGCATTGAGCCAGACGTCACTGCTCAACATATCCCCCTTCGAGTGGTACGATTTGCTTGCTCAGGATGCTATCAACAATATCCAACGGCTCAACAGCCTGCCGAATGGCGAGGTCAGATGGGTCTTTGATGAGAGTACCCTGTCTCGGAGACAGACCCCCTTGCCAGAGTCGCCGACTGAGCAGGACGACCAGCTGCCCATCTTTGGTCGAAGCGAGGGCCACACTACTCCCCCCTGGAACACCTCCAGCAATACTGAGCTCTCCGATGATGAATTGGTTCATTTCCGTTACTACGTCGATGTTGTGGGACCGATCTTGGATCTCTTTGATCCTGAGCGGCATTTCTCCAACATGGTCCCCCATCTCGCTGTTCGTAACGCCGGACTTCTCAAATCCATCCTGGCTGTCGCTGCTAGACACATGTCCTTGGGACCCAATCCTAAAGTCTCAAACTCTGGCGTTACATGCCCTCCTCTAGCAGATTCATCTCTTGCTGGCAGCCCAGCACAAGAAGAAGCGGCTCGCTCGGCAACCCAGTACTACTATGAGACGCTTCAGTATCTGTCACACACATTGCTATACCCATCTTATGCCAACTCACATGAGATCCTGGCCACTGCCATAATGATCAGCACTTACGAAATGTTCGACTCAAATGGGCCCTCCAACAACGGGGATTGGGAACGCCACCTCCGCGGCGCGTTCTGGATTCAAAGATCACAGGATAACAACGCCGAGTCTGCAGACAGTTTCAGGAGAGCAGTTTGGTGGGCATGGATTCGCCAGGATATTTGGGCGGCCTTCAGATCCGGTCGTCGAACACTGACTATCTTCCAGCCCCAGAAGACACTACAGGAGCTAAACCCAGATGACCTCGCCAGTAGGGTGTTATTTATTGCCGCAAAGTGCGTCGCATACGCCGCGTATGATGCGTCTTCTTCAACGCAAGACCTACAGCAACGAATGAACCTCGGGAACCGCCTCCTTCGGTCTTTGGAGGAATGGCGTGAGGCGCTACCAGCTTCCTTTGCTCCTATCTCTGGAGGAGCGGTCTCGGATACAGTTTCTGGCGCGAGCCGCCCCAGCTCAGCTTCCCCGTCCGTACATCATGTCGGTCAAGCTCCGGGCCCCGCTGCAACTCAGGGCAAGGGGGTTTTCGAACCAATCTGGATTCATCCGCCCAGGAACGCTGGGGCGATGCAGATGTATCATTTTGCACGGTCAGTGGTTCTCCTTGCCCAGCCGTCCACGGGCGGATTAAACGCCTACAGGCGACGACAGCGGCTTCTCAATGAGAGCCTACATAGGGTTTGTGGTGTCGCCAAAGCTTGCAACGACAATGATCCTGCACTGGCATTTTTGAATGTGCAGGTGATGTTTGCTGGTGAGTTTGCGTGCTGCGATGGTACGATGAATTGAGCTAACGGGTTATGTAGTCGGGCAATGTGCCCAGAATGGCGAGAAACAGACGGAGTTACTCGAAACATTAAACCGAGCAGTCGCTATCAGCAGCTTTCCATCAAAAGGGCTTACCGATGAGCTCGAAAGAATATGGAAAGAAGGATTCTAGTCAAGCTGAAGAATCTAGCATCGATACCCCTACCCCACGTGAACTTGGCTCCTTGAATGCGCCTCGCGCAGCTCTTGGGTTTGCAACTTGTTGCAGCTCGACCTTCTTCCTTGCTGTATGTCTTGTATAGAATAACATTGCCAATCACAAACCTAATAGCCTGTATTGATTTGGCTGGTCGCAGGTTTCCTACTGCTCAGAGAATGGCATTAGAGCTGCTCTTCTCACTCACAAAGGAAGCGGGTAATCATCGTGAATTGAATCGCAAGGACGACCTGGAGGAGCAAGAACTAGTCGCACGAGGAACACAATGAAGACTCCGAAAAATACCTGGAGAGCAGGAACAGCAAGAAGAATGTCGCGATAGAGAGGCACAGCGATGGGATGACTGAACTTGGTGCTCAACGATATCAGTAGTCATAAATCCTCTATATTCTATGGTGGATAACCTTATCATATCTCTCGCCTGCCCCTTTTTCAATCCGTTCCCTACCAGGCACCAACAATTCCAGCCACAGGAATGTCAATGCCTGTTGTGTATGAGGCTCCATCCGACAGCAGATACACATAAGCGCCACCGAGCTCCTTCGGGTCGGCTAGCCGGGGCATGCCCCCGTAGTACTGCATCTTCAGATTCCAATCAGGGGCCTGGTCGACGAAATAGGTCATTGCAGTCTTGACGAAACCAGGAGAAATCGAGTTGACCCGGATACCGTGCTTCACCCACTCCATGGCGAGCGTGTGGGTCATATTCCTGACAGCGCCCTTGGTCGCACCATACGGCGCTGACGGCGCCGCCCGGTTGGGGCGATACGAGGTCATGGACGCGGTGAAGACGATCGAACCCTTGATCCCGAGCTCGATGAAGCGCTTGGCGACAGTGGTCGCGCAGAAGTAAGCCCCGAAGACGTTGAGGTTGAACAGCTGCTCGAGCTGCGCACGGCTGAAGTCGAGCGCCGGTTGGTGTTTTGTCATGCCAGCGTTCGCGACCAGGCCGTGGATTGCGCCCTCTTTGGCGATGATGGCATCGATTGCAGATGTGACGCTCTCTTCTGAGGTAACGTCGCAGTGGAGGTATTGGATGCGCTTGGGGTTTGCCTTCTGGACGGCCTGGAACTCTTCGCCTGGCTCGAAAAGGTCCAGAGAGTAGACTACTTTGGCATCGTTTGCTAAGCAGACTTCAGCGATGCCGAGGCCAATTCCTCTGTTGGCACCCGTGATGGCGACAACCTTGTTTCTCAGCGATACCTTCCAGTCATGGTCTGGGCCGGGCTGGGTATTGAGGAACTCTGGGGTTGTTGAAGAGGGGGGGGCAGCGGCAGGGAGTGTTGCTGAGGCAGCGCCATTGTTGGCTTGTGAGTCTGAGGTTGCGCTTGGAGACATGTTGGCTATCAGAACCCAGGATGATATGACCGTGAAGAGAGGACTTCGCAGATTTGTGGGGTTCTGATGGACTGATAAAGTATGTTGAAGGGCTGGATGGTTTACGTTGGTAGGAGAATTCAGCGCGATGATATACCGGTGTGCAGGACTTATGATAACTTGGTATCTGGCTCGTAGCGGATGCTGATGTGCAGATCTGGGTCCCACTCCGAGTTAACACAACCGGACTTCACCGGAATTCTTCTAGCAGACATCGGCACGGGACAAATGCTGGACTTACCCGATCATATTACCCACCCAGAACTGCCGAAAAACAATTCCAAGGGATGGAATCACATGGCGTGGTTGTGCCACGAATTCCATTCGATGCGACGTGAAAGGCACTGGGACTCGCTTCGAGGTACGCCTTCGCGTCGAGGCAACCCACCAGCAGTCCGAGGAGCCGATTGGGTTCCCCTCATCCGGGAACCACACCATCCAAGTTCATGGTGCATCCCTGGTAACCCCAAATTCTGGGGAGTACAACTCTGGGGATGGTCCCCACGATTCCTCCACGGGGTGGTTAGCCGCTTTGTGGAGAGCTGGAGAGTGGAAGGGATAGGGGTTCGGGGAAGGACAAAGGAATTTGCGGAGTGGCCGGCTAGTTAGCCTCTGGACTGCACCAGCAACTGAGGCAGTGGATAAGCTGGGACACCGACACTTCAAGTCATTCTATAAGATTGAGCTGTTGTACATCTTTGCACCACTCCCATAAGCGAAATGTCAGCTTAGTACATCCTGTTTCTCGATATCTCCACGATTCTGCCATTCTTTCCAGTGAGAATTATTAACAGGCAGGCAAAACTCCAACTAGCCATCCGCGATGGTCTCTCGAAGACAATCATCGTCTCCGAGCATGGAGGCGAACGACCAGAAAAATATGGAGAATGAGCCCCAGCACATCGAAACGTCAGGCCAGACAATCACATGGACAGAGGAAGAGGAGAAAGCTCTTGTCAAGAAGATCGACCTATTCCTGATGCCGACCATTTGGTAATACTCTGCTCGGTTGTGACTGGCGACTCCAGACAGAACGCTGACGGACACCCATCAGGCTGATGTACCTTTTGTCATACATGGACCGAACCAAGTCAGTACACAAACCCTGGACGACAACAGTCAATGACTTGACTGGACAGCTTAGCTAACATATAGTCCTGTGGTACAGTATTGGAAATGCCAAGATCGCAGGAATGGCTGACGATATTGGCCTCTCGTCGTCTCAATACAGCATCGTCTTGGTCGTGTTCTTCAGTGCGTTCTATCTCCTAGTTATGACGCCCAGCTCTGAGCCTTCTAACAACGCGTAGTTGGCTACGTTCTCTTCGAACCTCCTTCCAACATGATCCTCGTCCGAACCCGACCGTCGCTATATCTTCCTTTCATAATGGCTCTCTGGGGCGTCCTCACATGCATTATGTCAGTCGTCAAGGAATACCATCACCTCATCGTGCTTCGCGTCTTTGTTGGAATAATGGAGAGTGGTTTCGCTCCCGGCATCCTTCTCATCATCTCTTCCTGGTATCGACGCGGAGAACAATCGAGGCGTTTTGCCGTTTTTATGTCTGCGGCAATTCTTTCCGGGGCATTTGGCGGGTTGCTTGCTGGTGCGATCACGAGTGGCCTGGAAGGGGCACACGGGATCCGGGGGTGGAGGTGGCTCTTCATCGTGGAAGGTGTTGCCACAATTGGATGGGCCGGCATCTCGGCCTTCATCTTGCTAGACTTTCCTGCAACTTCAACGAGACTGACACCCAGAGAGAGAGAGATTGCGGTCGCGAGGTTGCAAGAAGACAATGTGACTGTTCGAAACGCCGATGAGAAGCTCGGTAAAGGGAAGTCTTTCATGTTGGCCCTGAGAGATTGGAGAACATGGGGGTTCATCTTTGGCTACATGGTAAGATTCATAATCAAGTTGCTCATGATTAGGATCCCTCATGCTAACCAACACACAGGTGATTGTCGGCTCTTCTACACTCTCCTATTTCTATCCGACTCTTGTCCATGGACTTGGCTTTACGTCAACGGTCCAGGCTCAGTACATGACGGTACACCCACCTCATTGGATGCCAGTTGTTGATGTTTTCTAACAAGAACCAGGTCCCCATCTACGCATTCGCTTTCGTCTGCACGGCAATTACCGGCTACTTCGGCGACAAAATACCCGATCATCGCGGACTGGTCATCGCTGCCTGGCTCGCATTCAGCATGATCACCTCGATCATTGTCTGCGTGGTGTACAACTTTACGGCGCGATACATACTGCTTGTTCTCATGGCCGCTGGATTGTGGGCATCTAACGCTATGTCTCTGTCCTTTGCCAGCTCAACGTTCGGAAGCATGGACGCAGAGGTTCGTGCGATTGCGCTGGCACTGATGAATGCTCTCGGAAATTTGGCGCAAATCTATGGCGCATATCTCTTCCCTACTGACGATGCTCCGAAATATCTCATGGGTTTCGGCGTCATTTCCGGCATGTTGGGCTTTGGTACGGTTGTTTATGTAATTATGCACATCCTGGTCAGACGTTGGAAGCCTTGAAAGACGATCGCTGATATCCGAGGAACGTTTCCCACTCATTGGGCGCATACTACCTTCATTAAACTCTTCGTGGGCAACAAGAAGACTCTGTCTCTGGATTGAATAGATGTATTAAGTGGAATCATTGTGATAAAATCTATGTTCGATCTAAGCCCTGCGCCCGCCTGCGGCATCCAAGTGGAATCAGCCCCTCCCGTCGATCCTCGCAGGGAGGACTGTCATGGCAGCCATAACAACAGATGAATGTGACCCATCCCATGCCTATAGGGTGTACCGGAACTGTGGAGTTTGTTAGTTGTGAAGATCCTTGGAGACAGGGCGGTACTTACGTAGGGGTTCTCAAAGTCAGTGTAGTCCGCCTCACCGTACTCCTTGCCCTTCTTCTCTCGCTCCTCGAATGTCAGACCATCGTTTGCCTGTTGCGCATCTCTCTTCTTGTTTCGTCTGACCAAAACAAAGCGCCAGGTCAGAATGAGCGCAAACTCAAGCCCGAAGCAAATTGCACATCCGATGGTGCCAGGGGTGTACTTCGGGGCGTCCTTCTCCTTGAAGATCTGACTTCCGACCATGTTGCCAACGCAGTATCCAACGAAGGTGAAACTGCTAGTGATGGTACGCTTGGTGCGACCGGCGGTGTTGCTTGGAATGAGTGTCCAGGCAAGGAAAAGGCCAAGCACGAAGGGCACCGTGATGAAGTAGCAACCCCACTTGGTCCACTTGATGGCGGGGTCGTTGGGGAGGAGCGACATGCCCAAGAATCCTGCAAAGGGCGGGAGGACGGAGCCGGCCATGAAGAACATTCGAAGATTGGACCACTTGCTGCAGGTCAAGCCGACGCAGATGAAGATGACTACTGACATCACAGATCGGGGAATCTCGATCAAGATGGTCTGCAAGCTGGCTGTATGGGAGTCAACATCTCAACTCGAATTATTCGAGAGGTACTACTCACTGAAGCCGAAGGATTTGATGACAATGCTACCGAAGGTAGTCAAGCCCCCGTTCGGGACAGAGCTGAGGAAAGCGTTCATGCCAGCAAACCAGAAGCAAGGGTCAATGAGACACTCGCGGACTTGCTTCCACTTCCAGCCCTTAATAGCGGTCTTGTCGTTTCCGGTGTTGTTTGATCTGATACGAGCACTTGCCTGCACGAGGTTAGACAAGAAAGCATGTGACGATTTAAAAGTTCACTCACCATATCCTTCTCCTCCTTGTTCAACCAAAGAACCTCCGATGGTGTGCCAAGAAGAAGCAAGCAAAGGCATCCGACGAAGGTAGTAAGACCCCCCAAGAACTGTCTAGTTAGTACTGCTATTCGGGCAACATATCGTAATTGTCGACTTACGTAGGAGATGTACCGCCAAGGTTGCACTCCTTCTCTGCCCTGGGTTGCGGAACCAATGGCGTACATGATCAGACTGGCAATGACACCGAAGCCAGCATTGGCACTCTGGAAGACAAGAGAACGAGATGCATGTTCACGGGTCTTGTACCACGTTCCCACAAGAAGCATGAAACCCGGACTGATACAACACTCGAATGCTCCCTAATCTTTTGGTGAGCTGATAGACAATTTTCTTCCATTTGACATTGGGCATACCTGGAGAGCGCGGAGCGCAATGAGGTGTGTGAAGTTCTTAGCAAACCCGATACACAAGACAATGATGCCCCCTGTTAATGGATTTCAGTGAACCGTTCTCGGTGTATATCATATGAGCAGGTGAGGCTTACAGCAAATCATGTAAATCGACAGGGTTCGACCCATCTTGTAACGTTGGACGACGACATTGCTTGGGAATTCGCAAACCATGTATGTGATGTCTAGGTTCCACTATGTCAGTGTACTGTCCCGGGCCTGTTTCGGAATGTGGGGGGTGATCACGTACAGAAGATTGTCGTCAACCACGAGTACTGTTGGCCCACCAGGCCAGTGTCCTCGCGCAAGCCAAAGATGGCTTGAGTTCCCAACGCAGTCTTGTCTGTTTGCTGGATACCATAGCAGAGCCACATGAGAGGAAGCAGGTAGCGGTCAATCTTCCTCTTCAACTTGTGGAACTCTTCCTTCGTGTAGCGGCCCTCGACCTCGACTGCGAACTTTGGTCAATACTGGGTGTCAAAAGCTAAAACGGATGGAGATCATACTCAGATGCGAGTCGCCGATCACCTCACTCTTGGTGTCTGATTGCGCATTGTCATCAGATACAATTGCGACCTTCTTCTCCTCATCAACGATGCGAGGTTCGGGTTGAGAGCCCATGGTCGTTGCGGGGTCAGGCAGATACCTGAAAATGCGCACAAGAAGGGACGAAGGCAGGAAGGTTTACAATATGGCAGCTTGTGAGCGACGTGCTGGCAAGAAGTCACCTGGCTGAGGGCGAATAGTTGGGATCGGCTTATATCACTACTACAAACTCTACCCCAAATGCCGGAGGCAACACATACCCTGGTCGGCAGCCAACGGTCCAGATAAGGATTCCCGCGGAGTCAACCCCCAACTATCGGGGGCGACATCAAAATAGCCGACCAGATGGCTGGACGAGACCGAGCTGGTGGGACCTCTGAACCAACATGGTAAGTGTGCTGCACATGGTAGATATATCTTGCCTCCTCATCGGACGACGTCAGCTGGGGCTCCAATCAACTTATCTTCGCCCGTCTTGGCAGAGATTAATCTTCAACGCCTGGGCGATAAGATCAGAGAAGCTGCATGGAAGGCACAAGCTATCGGGACAAAGATTACCGCCCCGGAAAAGATAATGAGATGATGGGTAGACAGCACTATGCGGGGAGTTGATTGTCACGTTCCATTGATGTGCGCCGTCGAGCTGCATGCATGATGTCCTGTTTGGTAGGTCAGATGATAGGGTTGGATCCGGGATGATAAGCGGAGGATAAGCCGGGGAGGCGGGGTTCAGGCCGTTGTAGCCGACCAACCTCGTCCGTTGACTGGGGTGTTCATCTCAAACGGCATCTCAGAGAACAAAGTTGAAGATGGAATTTAGAGCAATTGATACGTTGGCCTTGCATTCATTGACTGAAGTAATCCTGGTGTATGAAAGCTCAAGTCTGCTGAAAATGGTTGAATGAGCCTCTAAGCCCGATTCAAACCTCACAGCTTGTATCTAAAATGAGGATTCTCCTTATCGGTGCGGTCCGTGAAGCCAAACTCGTTCACCTCGGTATCGCCATGCCCCGCGTTGACGTGCTCGCCCCCTGTCATTTCAGCAAGCCGCGCGTCGCGCTTTCTGTTTTCCCACCACATCAAGCCGCCGATACAGGCCGTGAAAAACATGCAACTAGAATACATACCACAGAGTGCTTTGATGGCGGACATGTATCGAGGGGCTTCGTCGGGATCGAACATGAAGGGGCCGATGATGTTCCCTGCAGCATAACAGATGAAGTTTACACCATTGACCGTCATGCGCTTCGTGTGGCCGGCAAAGTTAGCCGCGACGATGGACCAATTCAGAATGATCGCAGCGCCAATTACCCCAAGAAGCCAGCAGCATGCGGTCAGTGCCAGAGGACGCTCGAGGGGAGTGAGCGCGATGCCAATAATTCCTGCGATAGACGGAACACCAGCGAGTACGCTCATGAGAACGGTAATGTTCCTGTAACGCGAAGCAAGATAGCCGAGGATGACAGTTGGGACGAGTTGGAATGCCCCGCTGGGCAGTTGCCATTTCAATGTCTCGATGGAGTTGTATCCGAAGCCTTTGAGAAGGGCGCTGGTGAAGTTCGTGAGGCTGCCATTGATGATGCCAATGGAGATTTGCTGTAAAGCAACACACCATACGCGAGGCTCCGAGAAAGCTTCCTTCATCTGGTAAGGTAGGAATTGGCAGTGCTTGATGCCAGTGTGATTGTCGGCTACTCGCCAAACAGAGACCACCCGCTCCTCGTGGGTGAAGAGCTTGAAGTCAACCGGGCTTGACGGGAATAGGAAAAGTGCAACCCCCCCGATAAACAGAGTTATCACTCCAATGACCTGATCATAGCCTGTTAGTTTGGACCTTGGAGGTTGAAGTCAACGATGAAAGGGTCCGTACCAGAAAGATGAGCTGCCAAGGGGCCAAGGCGGTATGTGTCGTCGTGCCAAGTCCCCAGGAAATCCCCGAGCCAAGCATCAGCGAGATGCCGTTGCAGCCTAGCCAGATACACATTCTCAACGGCTGCTCGTCCCGAGTCCAGAACATGGATGTGACAAGCATCCATGCCGGGCCAATGCAAGCCTCCAGCCCGCCAAGAAGGAACCGAAGCGCCATGATACCAGCAAAGTTCTTGGCGCCGACGGTGGCGACTAGCAATGTGCCCCAACACAGAAGCATGATAGAGACGAACTTTCCGATCGGAAAACGCTGGAGACACCAGCTCGATGGGTAGGAGAATAAGAGATAGCCGATGTTGGTGATTGAGGCCACCCAGGAATAGTCCCGCCCTTCGAGACCGAGGTCGGCCTGGAGGCCATAGGCATTCGCATAGTTGAGCGTCTGCTTGTCGAGGAAAGACATGAGGTAGATGAGACACATCTGCAGGAATTCAGATCAGCTTCTGCCTTCTACGATGGTGGTCCTGGTGCAGAAAGGTGTATACCGAGGGCAACAGAATGAAGTCAATCTTTCTCAGAACCTGCTTGGCGATGGCGTCTCTACGTGCCGGATCCATGGCTTGGGATTCGAGATAGTAGTCGTAGCCAATATCCGTGTGACCGACCTCGACAGCACCCTTGGAGATGCTCTGAATATCCGTTTCAGGCATGTTTGCCTCGGGCTTCATGCCCTCGAGATCGGTGGGAGACATATTGTCACGGGCTCACCGTGGTAGTAGGAAACGCTGTGAGATGATATTGTACCGTCGAAAAGGTTAATATGACGGAACTCATATGAAAATTAAAACAGATACTGAGTTCCATTTGATATATCCAGAGAGCTACGCCTATCTTCTAAGTCACATGGGTTTCAGTTATGTCAACCCATTGGTCTGCAGCAAGGGATACTTGGGTGATAATATAACGCCCGCTCACTATCGGGAGCAAATACGCCATCGGTTCCTACCCGAACAATAGAAACAGCAGGGACGACAACATGGAGCCTTGCCTCTATGGTCAGCCGAGTGATAGACATGAATCCCAGATACCCGGCACAAGCTCGGTCCACCCGTTAATTGGATGGTGGAATACATGGGGTAAGGAAGAGCGACTCTGCAGGTCTTGATGGCATCATATTACCTTGCGGGGAACCTGGCTATCACAGTGACATGTTGGAATATTGATAGTCCAATCTCGCGCTCTTCATACCTCCTCGCGGTATCGTCTAGCCGTGATTGGCTTCATTCGACTTGCGCGGTTATGCAGTTCTCTGCTATGCATTGCATTGCATGTTGATGCACCGCGGTCCCGTGGTAGTCACACAGCATATGCGAGAAATACGTCGAGGACTTAGGATGACAGCTAGTTTTGTTGTCGGACTTGAGGCCGACAAGACCTCCCTTGTGGATATACATCTGGGATGTCGGACAATATGCCGACCGGCCCCAGTTCCCGGCCGTCTAAAGTCCACTTACCCCGAGCCATTCCTGCTGTGGGACACATGCTGGAAAGAATGATAACATGGCTCCGGGTTCATCTTCGTGCTATTTTTGGGGTAAGAAGGAATACAGGCCTCTTTGATGGGCATCTTTGGCTTTTTTTCAACTACACATCGCCATCTCCTAAGCTGTGCATACAAACAACATGACCCAGACGAACGGAGCCTCGAAGCCCTACAAGGCCGCCATCATCCAAGACTTCTCAACTACTAAGCCTTGGGGCCAGATGACGATCGATGCTACGGCGAACTTCATCCGTCGCAGCATTCCCCACGCTCATGTTGATCACTACCGCGCAGCTGATGGCGAGACCCTGCCCCCAGCCAAAGACTACGACCTGTTCGTTTTGACGGGAGGAACCGTGAACCTGCTTGAGGAGGAGAAGCCAGAATGGGCGTTGCGCGTGCTTGATTTGATCCGCGACGCACGCGCACTCCCTGGCACTAAGCTTATTGCATTTTGCTGGGGACACCAAGCAGTTCATTATGCCTTCGGCGGGGTCTTGAATATTCTTGCAGAGGGGCCTAGGGTACGTCTAGCTGCTACAGCCAACGCCGTACGTGGAGCTGATAACGGATTGTGAAGATTGCAGTTGAAGAGATTAACCTGACGCCGGAAGGGAAGAAGCTGTTCGGAAAGGATGTTCTGGTAAGCATGACTTCCGAGCTTCTAGACCAAAGTTTGGCTGACGATGATTGTCAGTTGTTGCAAAAGTACCACAAGCGCTACATGTCACGACTCGCGCCAGACTTCACAGCGTTAGCAGGGAGATGTGAGATCTCGTGTAGTAAGGAGAAGGGCATCATTACTTTCCAAGGACATCCCGACCTCAGTCGCGAAATCGTTCGGACCCTTATCGACACGGACGACGGGTTGTACAAGCCTTCCGAGACAACACACCGCAGTCCTTGCGGCAAGCTGTTCAGCAGTGACACGGCTGACGATGGGGATGAGGTGTGGTACAAGATCATGGCCTTCGTGTCAGCCTGATGGATATGCTCGCAACTGCGTCGGAAATTTGTTTGTGACCGAGATGGATGATGCCTCGTTGAATTCGTATCGTTCTGGATCATTTTGACCCCTGTCAGTGGAAGCCGCAGGCTACACCGTCCCCATGAAGCGGACCGTACCGCTGTCTTGCTGAATAATATTAAATTCAATAGGAAGACAATTGGCCATAACCTAGCTTATCTCTCTGATTCGCAATTTACAGGGCAATTGACCTCAGAGAAGAACCAAGCTTTGGGGTGGAACTGCGGGCTACCGCGCCTCGCGTTTTGCGAAGCACGTCATATGCGGGACCTATTCGTCAACAAGCTTACGATATAAGACATGCCGAGCATCTTCGGGGAGCCAACGAGGGGCGATATATATGAGTTCGTGTTGGAATCGTAATTTCAGATACCTTTTAGGAATTGATCCAGTGGAAAATGGCGCCCAGATACTCAAGCGTAGCCATCATCGGGGCTGGTCCGTCCGGCATATCAGCTGTGAAGGCGCTGAGTGAAGAGAAGGCGTTTGACAGGATCCAATTATTCGACAGAAGAGAGAAGATCGGAGGGACATGGTAGGTCATCCTCGGTGAATGCGCATGCATAGATGACTGACATGCCGCGCAGGATCTACGACGAAAAGCCAGAGCCTTTCTCACCGCACTCAAGTCAACCTGTCAGGGACCTCCCTTCAAACTTTCCACAATCGCTCCCGCCAGCGTCTGAAAATGTCACTGCCAAAACGGGCATCTACCCTTCTCTGGACAGCAACGTCTGCTCACAAGTATGGCTTTTACTTACAAGCCTTTCCCCTCGGTGCACTCATCAACGTCAATCAACCGCTTTGGAAAGGCGAATCCGACGCATCCTTGGGAGAAGGTCGCTGGGTACCTGGAAGAGATTGCCGAGCCATTCAATCATCTTATCACCCTCAACACCCACGTTGAGCGAGTTGAAAAAGTCGGGAAGAAGTGGAGGTTGACGCTCAGAAAAACACAGTACTACCTTAAGGGCCACAAGAGGGACTATTGGTGGCAGGATGAGTTTGATGCTGTGATCGTTGCGACTGGGCACTATGGTGTGCCATATGTGCCCAACATTGCAGGGCTTAAGGAGACGTTCGCTGCGCTACCTGAGAGATTTGAGCACTCAAAGGCGTACCGCTCTCCGGAAGACTACTTTGACAAGGTGAGTCCAACCGCGTCAATTTAGACATTGGATCATCTAATCACCACCGCAGAAAGTCGTAGTTGTCGGCGGCAACGTCTCGGCCTCAGACACCGTGTCGGAAATCCACAACATCGTCTCCGGTCCTCTCTACGTTGCGCAGCGCGGGTACAACGAGATCCTCAAGGACGCATGGGAACTCCCCAACGTTGTTCTCAAACCCGAGATCACGAAACTGTCCGTCGGCGCAGATAACCTCGTCAAAGTCACCTTCAAAGACGGCACGGAAGTAGACGGCATCGAAAAGATCCACTTCGGCACGGGGTACCGCCTCTCATACCCCTTCCTCGTCCCGGACCCTGTCACCCCCAGTGGCCGTCTGTCGGGTTTCTACCAGCACGTCTTCAACATCGCCGACCCCTCCCTCACGGTAGTCGGACAGGTCAAGGCCGCCATCTCGCTCCGGGTGTACAAGTACCAGGCCGTCGCTGTGGCGCGGTACTTTGCCAACCGCGGTGGGGGCCTGCCGTCGCCGCGGGAGCAGGACGAATGGGAGGTGAAGCGGCTGCAGTACAAGGGGCTTACATCACAGTTCCACGAGATCAAGCCTGACTTTAAGGAGTATTTCGACTTTTTGAAGGACGTGGCTGGGCCGCCTGCGGAGGGGACCGATGGATATGAGTTGCCTGCGTGGGAGGATGAGTGGGGGCTGTTGGGATTCGGGGTGTTGGCGTTGAAGCAGAAGTGGTGGAGGGAGTTGAAAGAGAGAGATGAGCAGAAGAAGCAGATTAAGGCAAAACTCTAGGACTTTGGTCTTTAGAATTGCCAAGACAGAAAATTTCGTCCATCTTACGCTACTGAGCTAGGTCTTTCATGATGCCATTCCCAGGTGAGGCTTTCTCATGCACACCACCAAACAAGCTCAACGAGCTCAAGAACCAAACATCGGTCAACTTCCATCGCGCCAAGAAGATGGTTCCCGTGAATGTGGTTCTGTCAGAAAAGACCTAACAAATACGGACATCTTCCCGGGGTATGGATCGACGGCCTCCACTCAGAGGTCCAATGGGGGCCAAGATTCTCGCCGTCGGGTGGATTCAACGACACTTCCAACGTTGCACTAGCATATTCGTCATTTTGCACCGATATGAGGAGTCATTCCACGGGAGAAAATTTGGCGAAAGAGCTTTTTTTTCAGCAGCGGTTAACAACGGGAATAATCACGATGTGAGCCGAGACAAACTTTATCCGATATAAGGTTGGCTGATCCCACTGGACGTTGCGGCTCACGATGCAACGACTTCATCACAACTCAAGCCTAAAATCAACGATGGCTGAAGAACCGACCAAGACTCCGGTCTCGGAGGTCCGGGACCACGCTCCGGCGTCTGAGCCGGTAAAGCGTGTCTGGTACCACTCAACGCTGTTCAATGCCTTCGTTATTGGTGGTGTCGGTATGTCTCCCTGTCACTACTGAGTGCAATATGATTTTGACAGTGCCAAATAGGTTTCATGGCCCCCGGCCTCTGGAACGCGATGAATGCTCTCGGCGCAGGCGGCGCTCAGGAACCATTCCTCGTCAATGCCGCCAACGCCCTAGTGTTCGGCCTCATGGGCTTCCTCTGCCTCTTCGGCGGTCCCATCGCCAACCGCATCGGCCTTGCCCGCACTCTCCTTCTCGGCGCCGTGGGCTACCCTCTTTACTCCGCCGGTCTGTACTGCAACAACCGTTTCGATAACGTCTGGTTCGTGCTTGTCGGTGCCGCGGCATGCGGCGTGTCCGCTGGTTTGTTTTGGGCGAGTGAAGGCGCTGTCGCATTGGGCTACCCGGAACCGGCAAAGAGAGGCAAATACATGAATATTTGGCTTTGGTTTCGCACGGGCGGGCCTCTTGTAGGCGGTGCCATTGTGTTGGCGCTCAACAATGACGCCGGTGCGAAGAAGAAGGGCAAGGTTGGGTACGAGACTTACCTCGTCTTCATCGCGCTGCAGTGCCTGAGTGTGCCCCTGGCCCTGGCCCTCTCGCCCCCTGAAAAGGTACAACGCACCGACGGGAGCAAGGTCATCATCAAGGCGGAAAAGTCGTTCTCGGCCGAGTTCAGGGAGTTGTTCCGCATCTCGAAGAGGAAGGATGTGCTGCTTCTGCTACCGATCTTCTGGGCGGCGTACTTTAACCAGTACAGCGGCAACTTCCAGTCTTACTACTTTGGTGTGAGAGCGAGGGCGCTGATTGGCTTTGTGAGCAACTTCGGCACGCTCTTGTCCAGCCAGCTTATCAGCACTTTGTTGGACTACAAGGGCTTCAGCGTCAAGAAGAGAATCAACATCGGATTCTACTACGTTGTCGTCTGGCACATCATCGCATGGGTGTACGGATGGGTTATCCAGGAGAAGTACACTGCCAACCCGCCGGCATACGACTGGGAGGACAAGGGGTTCACCGAGGGCTTCTTTGTTCTGCTTCTATGGGACTTCGCGAGACAGGCGTTGCAGAACTGGCTGTACTACCTGCTGGCAACCAAGACGGACAACATCTCTGAGCTTGCTAGATTCTCTGGCGTACTGAGAGGACAGGAGAGTTTCGCGCAGGCTGTGGCGTTTGGGTTGAACACGAGGAAGTGGCGTGGAGGTCGGGTGCCGCTGGCCATCAACACGATTCTTCTGGGTCTTGCTGTGTATCCTACGTGGCTCGTCGTCCGCGACCACGTGCCCATCGAGACGGACAAGCTTGCCACCGTCGAGGAGGGTTCTCAGGGAGAGTTGGCCGTGACGAGGTTGTCTGCGGATGAGAGGAAGGAGTTCGCTATTGGACAGACTGGTCTTGGACGAGACGCCAAGATCTGAGAACTTAGATCGACTATAGCACACACCATTAAGGTAGTTAAAGACTAGGCCAAACCGGGCTTCTGCTTCGACTTTTTTGAGCCTCAGTCGCGTCTATGTCCCGGATTCGGAGTAATATCCACTAGTCAGACTACGCGAGGTGGGTTCCAACGCTTTTTCGTGTCACTATCACCCTTGGTATTGTAAGTTCTTGGTATTTATGAGCTCTGGCCTTCGTCGTTGACTCGTGCTTAAAGCCATATCGAGCGGATTACAAAGGTATGCTACATTGTCTTGGGATTTCCCTTGAAACAGCCTGAGGACCGGATACCGTTGCCACTCAAATAACATTCTTGCGCGAACCTTCGGCGGAAATGTCTTGTGGAGAGATATTTCCATTCGGCGCCGGATATCCACATCGATTGGGGTTAGAAGTTCAGCCGTTTGAGCTGAGAATCTCTCGCCCTGTCATGGCCGCCGCCCTTCATCTTTCAATATTTCGATGGTTCAAGGTCGCTTCAAAACGGCTCGTGGCTGAAAGTTACCATTCTGTCGGGGAATGCTACCGCTCTGTCTGGCTTACCTTGATCGCGTCATCCTGGCCCTTACATATTTCTCCGTCAGGGTCATTCAGCAGCCAAGAAGGTGTGCCCACCAGCGGCAAACTGCGAAGAAAGGTTAGAAGGAAAAGAGGACCTTGATCACACACCTTCCGGTGATCGAGATTGCACAAGAAGAAGATTTCGACTTCTGATATGCCACGGCTCTTCGCTTCTTATTCAACCATCTATCGATAAAGAAAAAAGGAAAAGAAAAACAAATTTCAAACTACCGAAAGCAACCAGTCCACTAAAACCACGCAACCTGGAACAATGGATATTGCTCTTCCTCCACTCGAGTCCATTATTGAGTTTACGGGGATCGCCATAGCAGTCGTGTCCCTCATTGTCACCATTGGCGTGGTCTGGGCCGAGGTCGTCGAGGCCTTCGTCAGCAACTCCGACAACTTCATCCGCAGCGGCCGCCAGCTACAAAATCGCCTTCACCTACCGCAGCGACTATGCCTTTTCGCCGACTCGGACCCGGGTATGTCGGAGGACACTGTTCGCTTCATCGGCGCGGCCGCCCTACCCGTAGGCTTGATGCTCGTTGCCATCATCGCATGGGGCATTTCCTTGGGTGCGAGACACGAGGAGCCAGATAGATGGTTCTGGTATCTGGTCGCGTTGTTCATGGGATGTCTGGTTTGCCCCTGGGCGCTGATGCTGGCGGCGCGTAGCCGAGAGGCGAGGATGGGCAGGGAGGCGGCGGAGGATGGTGGCGAGGCGGGGTATGCATCGGCGCCGCGGGTGATGAATGACCGTTAGGAGGCTAGGAGCCATCACAGGTATCAGGTGAAGGGGATTACGATGGGGGGCATGGTGTTGTGGAGGGTGTGACGACGAAGCGAAGAAGAGATTTGACAGCAAGGGGCTCTGCTAAGGAGGGACAGGCTCGGCTCACGATGGCCTACCAAGTCCAGAGTTTTCCAACGTACCTACGCCCTGTTAATGTCAGTGGAAGCTAGATTGTTGAAATTCGTTATACTGATCTGTAACGGGACCTGGCTCAAACCTTCTGGCACAACGGGATGGCGTTATCTGACCATCTCGTCATCGTCAACCTTGATGGCATTGTCATTCCTCCGGTCATGGCACACAATAAACACTCTGGGGCTTCCAATCGTTTCTTCCAGATACATCATCTCTGCTTCAAAACTTCACAAACAAAAAACGTTATCCATCTAGTTGAGCAGCAAACCGACTCTATCCCAACCCATCCTCCACCAACAATGTCGGACCTCACAAGCCTGGAGTATCTAGGGATACTCATAATAGGCGCATTACTCTTCATCACTACCCTGCTCATCTGCGCCGAGCTCATCGACACCTTCACCGAAACCTCATGCCCCTCCATCCCCTGCCGTCAGCGCGCCCAGAACCTGCACCGCCTCCTAGCAAGCCTGCACGTCTTCCCGGACTCGAATCCCGGTATAGGGGGTAAGGCCCTCCGCTTCATCACCGACGCCGCGCTGCCGCAGGGAATAGTACTCCTCGCCCTCTCCGCCCGGGCAATCTACCTGGCTGCGAGGCACGAGGTGCCGAGCCGGTGGTTCTGCTACCTGCTCGGGATATTGACGGGGTGTGTTGTGTTTGAGTGGGCTTTGCTGGTGGGTGACCACAGGGCGCGGGCTCGTAGAGAGAGGGCGGTGGCAGCGGCGAATGGGCCGTATGAGCCATGCTTGTACCCCCAGGTCGATTTCAAGGAGGGTAATGCGCCTGAATATGTGACCGGAATTTTCGGGCAGCCAGTATTGCGGCGCTGTTGAGGCGGTGACGAAGCAGACCTGCGATTCGAAAGGGGAAGACCACCGTCCGACACAGGCTGTCGAGGAGGCATCGAAAAGCAGCTGACATGATTCAACAGCGGCTGGTGACGTGCGAAAGGCGTATCCATGATGATGTAGTAACAGAAACGAACAACTTTAATATACGCCGGATATAGTCTCATTACAAAGGTCTATTACACAGCTTTCGACGCGCGGGACTTGTTGTCCCGATGCCTCTTCTCCTTGGCCGCCGTCTTGCGGCGCTTCATCCACGACTGGTTCAGGTTCCGCCTGTTCTCCCAGAACCACTTCTGGAACTCGCCGGGCGGCACGCCGTTGCCGGCACCCTCGCCTTCCACAGCGTTCTGCTCGGCGTTGAGCGTGGCCTCGATTTCCTGCTGCGTCGCCTCGTCGTCCTCCTCTTCCTCGTCGGGCTCGTTGCCGATGGCCCAGAACGGCTTCGTGCGGCCGGGGAACGCGGTGTCTGGAGTGGGCGCGGCGCTTCTAGCGTTGCGCCAGGCGAACTCTTCCTCGGTGAAGGGGGTCATGGGCATCTGCGGCATTGCGGGCACGGCGTCTTCTTCTTCAATATCGTCGTTGTTGCCGCCGCCGAAGAAGCTGAAGGGCTGGGCTTCCTTGGCTGGCTGAGGGGTGGAATCACTGTCGGGCTTGGGACGCTTGTATAGGGCTTCCAGAGGATGGACCTTGGCAGGGGTCGTGGGGGGTATCTTGATCGTCAAGCTGACGTTGGAGCCGGATGACCTGGGGCGAGAGGCGTCGGCAGCCTTGAGGGCGGCGAGCGGGCTGTCGACTACAGCTGGTGCCGTGATCTTGTCTGCATCCTCCATCTCATCATCAGAGTCCGAGCTGTCCTCATCAGATGCCGTCCCGCTACTGCTCGTGGTGTCATCGTCGACAGGTTGAGGCGGGGGCTTTGACGCTTCGGGGGCTTTCTTTGCAGGTGTCACCGGTTTCGCCTTGGCTTCCTCCTCTTCCTCGTCCGAACTCTCGTCTGATGAAGTATCCTCGTCAGAGGAAGTTCCGCTGCTGCTCGTCGTGTCGTCCTGTGGGGGAGGGGTAGCAGCCTTGGCGGGCTTCTTCTTCTTCTTCGGGGCTTCAGACTCGGGAACAGGCGCAGTCGCGGTTTTCCTAATCTTCTCCGGCTCAATCACGTTGCCCTCGGCGTCGACCCAGCCCTTGCCCTCGACAAATTCTGTCGTGAGCGCCTCCGCGGGTGCCGCCTTGGTGGCCTTGAGGAACGTGGGAAACTTGGTCGTTTTCTCGAACTCGTGGATGACGACCTCGCGGGACTTCTTCTTGCGCTTCTTCTTCTCCGGCTCCTCCTCGTCGCCGTCGGCGGCCGGTTTTGTGGACGGGAGTTTCGCGGGTAGCTTCGTCTTCAGCAGACACTCCGCCCTGTCGGTGTACTTGGAACGCTCCTCGCGCTTCTTGGTCTTATCCTTCTTGTCCTTCTTCTCACCCTTTTCCTTCTTGCTCTTCTTCTCCCGGATCTTGGCCTCCTCCGGGACGGTCCATCCGCGCTTGACCTTGCGGTCACGCAGCTCGACGCCCTCGACGAGGTTGTGATCGCGCTTCCGCTTCTTCTTGGTACCCTCCTCTTGTTCCTTGGACTTCTTCCTCTTCTTCTTGCCCGAGTCCTCCTCGCCGGGCACTGGGAGGTAGTTCTCCTCGGGGCGGGCCTTTTCTATCCTCATCTTGGTACCCTTCAGCACGGCGCCGTTCAGCCTCTTCTTGATCTTCTCGGCCTCGGCCTCGGGCAGCTCGACGTAACCGTAGCGCTTCTCTGGGAATGTCTCGATAGTGTGATAGGAAATGTTGCGGGCCTTGGGGAGGGAGGAGGAGGGGATGATGACCTTGACGAGGTCCTGGTCGAACGGGGTGATGTGCAATCGGGTGTAGTCGCTGCTGGTGTCGGAAGGGCCAGCAGGGTTATCAGAGGGACTCGCGGGGGGCGACATTAGGTATTAACGGTTTGTCGGCGGGGAGAGGGTGTGCAACAGACTCCAGACGCTTTGCTGTGAGCGTCGTCGGCCGTCGATCGTCAAAGAGAATGGTCTTGGAGCTAACAAAAAAAGAATAAGCTGAGCTCGACCAGACGGAAAACCCTTTGTTGCGCAGGGATTTTCATTGGTCGAGGCGGTTTTTAGCTTGGGCCGTGCATATCTGACAGCAGTGTGCCACAGCACTGGCCACCTGGTGCTGATTATGTCAGCGACAATTCTGGAAATCAGCCCCACCGGATCGAGCCATTGACTTTTGGCTGAGAACACAACACGACGACACAACAGCACCACGCTTCATTGTCGACTTAGTATCTCGATGCTACGCGAGTACTGGGCCTTCAATCGCAGCTTGTGCTGTACCCCCCAAAAAAAAAACAGATTCGTCGTGGTAGTTTCAAGCGAACCCTGCTGTCTCCCTTATTTGCAGGGACAAATCTCGGCTGCCGCTTCCTTTTAGCCACAATGTCACCAAACGGGAGCTGCGATGGGAGTCGACTTCCCCCATCATCAATCAAGAGCAGCAAGTGCCGTTTCTTCATGCCTTGGCAAGTTCAATCAGCAAGTCAAACTCCCCTTGACTTCACTCTTCTTCATGGACAAAGTCTGCCAAGTATCCAGCCTATTCTGCCTCAGCCGACTTCCAGCCCGGGTTGAAGCACTATCCTCGTCTCCTTTGACCGACCCTCCAGACCTCGTCTTACAGCCTCTTTATCAAACGACTTTCGTCCAGCATCTCCTTATTGCATCAAAAATATGCTGTCGTTTTGGTCCAATTCGGGTCAAAGCAAGGCCCAACCAGCCCAGCCGATGGCAGCCCCAAGCACCTCGGTCGACAAAAATGGCGCCGTCACCCATCATCTCCCTGGCGTCTTTGTCCCAAACTGCCAGGCTGGGACTGTCATCTTTCCGACAACCAGGCGAAAGCCATCTGGGAAGAAACGCACCGTCATTCCACCTCCGCCAACGTCCATCACCAACTGCACTTTGCTGAGCGACGGCGGCCTCGGTCATGTTGCTTGGGCACCCCCTGCAGCCCCTGCCATCCGTCGACCCTCCCGATGCATGAGCGTGGATGCCAATGGCAATGCCATCCCCCCCGACCACGTTCCCAAGGCCATCGGGGACACTCTCGACGTCAGAAACCTGGCGAACAATCCGGCACAAGGTAAGCTTCACAGAGTACTCCTTGGGACGCATGTCGCTGATGGGTCTCTCACAGGAATGAAAGACCCTGGGCTTCGGCCTCAAGAAGCATCCAAATCTTCATCAAACACGGCCCCCGTTCAGACTCCGCAGCCGATGTCAACAAACAAACAGCCACGCAGCAAGTCAGCCGCCCCAAAGGTGCCATCATCCACAACCAACGGTGGAGGCTCCATCAGCAGCTCCAAGCGACCAGGGTTGAAGGCGCGTGGCAAATCGCATATTTCCATGCATGACATTGTGCGCAAAGTCCGGAACCACCTCTCAAGCAACTCTCGACGTCAGACGGGATCATCCGAAGCCTCCCCGCGACCTGTATCCACTGCACAAAAGACACCTGCCGACGACATTGAAACAGCTTCTGTATGCCGCCGTGGCTCCTGTCAGTATGTCTTGAACGACGGTGAAGTCCAAGATGTGGTCGAAATCGTTGTCCACGAGATGTGCAAGCACGGCGTTGGTCCCGTCGACAAAGATCAGGGTGCTGCTTTGCAGCCAGGCGAGGAAGTTTCGAGACAGGTTGTCCGAAAGCCCAGCTGCCTCATGAATGCCCTTGGACCACAAGTCTCCGACGTGGCGGAACCGGCGACTACCATAAGCTTGCCTGAAACCGCCTTCTTCGCCCGCAGTCAATCTGACGGTCAAATACGCGCCAGGGTCAGGTCATCTAAAGTATCCATGACCACCATCCTATCCAAAGACAACGTCACCGATATCCGATGGGCAGCCGATGATACAAAGCCCGACAACGAGTCTCAAGGAGACCCCAAAGATGTCTTAACAACAGCGGATCCAGGGGGCGATCCGACCGTCCAGGCCGGCAGTGCAGCAAAGGTCAAAACCGAAGGAGATCAAGAACAGCCCAACGGTACAAAGGCGGCAGAACAAAAGATGGGGAGCACCGAGGGTGATCGGGCCGTAGATGGCTCAGGTACCGCCGAGACTCCCGCAACTGGACCACGACTTCACGAGATTTCTGACTGCGACATGGATGACTTGAGTGATTACGCCATCGACAATCAACCAACAACCAATCCTCCTGCTGCAGAAAATTCGAACACAGAGGATGTTGACACCAAGAGCTCAAACGCCATCAATCGGGAGCTCAACAAAAGCGGTACTGAGGCCAAAACGCCAGACGCTGTGGAACCCAAGCTGGACTCCAAAGAAGCATCGCCTGGAGCAGACCAAGCTGAGGAGTCCCCCTTGAAACAAAGCGGTCTTGACGATGCTGAAGGTGGACGTCTGAAACAGGCGTCCAACCCCGATGATCCCACTTCCATGGAGGTTGATGTCACATCTACCAAGGAGATTGATCCAAGCCCCCACGAAGTTGATTCCGCCTCTGCCGGTCCTGATCCTAACAAACTTGACGCCAAAGAGGATGGCATGAAGGTTCCCGATGCTGATCAAGGGGGCCCACAGCAGTTGGATGTTTCGACATCAAATGATAAGCCGGCAGAATCCAAGACGTTGAAATCGAGGTTTTTAGAGACTTTCCTGAAGTCATCAAATGACACTACCGCCGATGGCGCCTACGGAGATTCAAAGATCCCCAGGGAGGCGAGCCTGCAGAAGGAGAATAGCAAATCATCCATTGATAATGGTCTCACTGATCAGCAGGATACTACTTCATTTCCTCCATTGAGTAAACGCCATGGTACACATGAATGGCAAAGCCCTCCGTATGGCGCTATTCCCGAAGAGCAAGAAACAGACGACATGTATCACCTCGGCGTCGACGCCAGACCGGGCGGTGCGGTGCCTGCGACTGACAGCCATGTTTCACGACCAGATCCGATAACGAGGTACAACTTTGGTCTGTTCAATCGGAATGTATTTGGAGAAGGCACTTACGACGCCACATTGAAGCCTGGTCGTCGAGTATCTGAAGCATCCATTATGGCCGTCGGAGCTGCTGCCCCCCGCTCGACGGACAAGGTCCTCTATAGGTCTCGCTCTGCTCATTTCGCCGATGTCTCCAATTCGGATCCTGGATTTCTACAGAAGCTCACTCGCAAGCTAAGCTCCGTCTTCCAGACTCCGCCCCAAGCACCTCTCATGCGGGCGCCGGCTCCGTCCCTTGAAAGTACCGCAATTTCGAGGAAAGCTTCCGAGAGCCACGTCCCAGGCGATCGGAGTGAAGGGGGCGAGGCGGATACGGCGGGATACATATCTGAGCCCGAGCGCTCTTCCGTTTATCAGGCAATGACAGTGTCGAAGCCGGCAAAGGCCGAGGCGCAGCGTCGTAGTATCTGCTCGGAGGACAATGCGCCCCAGCGAATCGATGCTGTCACCAGTCTGAAGGGTTTGATCGGATCGAGTGGAAGATGAATGACAGACACGGACCTTGGCAACATGGCTGAGAATGAGTCTACTCGTCGTCGGATGAACCTAGTCGCTATTACTCCACTATCAAATAGTTGGTTACCTATGTGCCATGTCTCTTGTTTTAAGTTCGCCAGTGCCGCTTGAGCTAGCTCAGATCCTCGTAGCTAATAGCGTTTCTGGTCACTCCGCGGTGAGCAATCTTTTTGGCACTTTCAACCATCTTCTTCGACCAATATTCTGGCCTTGACTTTGACACAAATCAGCCTACAGGAGTTAGGCGGCTGCTACTGCGCAAGCACCTTGCCATCGAATCTGGTACAATCATCGTCTAATCTAATTATTGCATTGTCAGCTCGCCTCGGGGTGCGCCCAATCCAACTGGGGTCTACGCCGATTGCTGCGGCGAGTCAGTGTCATTAAGTACATAATGACAGTGTCAGAATGACAACTCACGTTTCTAGATCATTGAATCGAAATCGATTTCTCGTACCAGACGTGCATACTGGACGTCCGAATTTCACAATTTAGGGCCGAGCACAGCAGTCGCTGGGTATTCGTCGAAAGCGAAGACGTTGCCGCTTAGACCCGCCAGGCCGTACGTAGTACACATTCGAGCTCCCCTTCCCATCTTTAAGAACAGCAATACCGCCTTGGGTACCGATTTCCTGCAGAGATGCCGAAGCTCACCAGGATCGCTCCGTCGGATGACTCCGCTCGATCTTCGCACAGCTTCAAAGGGGCGTAGATCAACGCAATGCAGTCGAGAACGAGTTTTAATATCTCTAGATGAAAACACACAGCGGTTGATTCGAGATTGCTAGTCTCCTTGTCAATGCTACCATAGCGACACGATACCGCAACTCGTGCTTGGTGGCGATGACTTCCTATACGAACCCGAGTACTATATTTGATGAACAAAGAGAATGTGGAAAAAGCATGAAAAGAGAAGAGCGTAAAGACAGAGGAATTTTTTTTTTCTTGCTTTCAAATCCTCTTCACATCAAGGAAAGCTCATTTCTCCTGTTGGATCCGTTGCCCTTCACCCTGACCCTAAATGTTGACTTCCCGTCTGCTGCGGACGATACTTTCAGAATCGTCTTGGCCACAGCCTCGTCATCTTTATCGGTACTCGTCTCGATCAAGTCCTTGGTCTCATACGAAACAACCTGGCTCAAAGAAGCCCATACGTTCCCAAGCCAACTAGCCTGTGTCCACCCCAAAAATAATGCAGTAATGACTGCGAGGAGAAGAAAATGGGCAAGCACCATACTAGCCACGAGACCAAAGCCATTCCATTGTGTGGGTATGAGCTTATTGCTGGAGAAAGTTAGCACAGCTGTTGAATTGATATCGAAGTAAAGTGAGTTCTCGTAGTACGCCATTTGGCGAAGAACTGTGAAAAGACCTTGAAGGCCCTGTGCCAAACTGCCAGTTGTCCTAGTAATATCCTGGAAGAGCGCGGCATGCGCATAGTGTACGGTGTAAGGAGAAAAGGCCCCTGGGAGTAGGATCCCTCCAGCCAAGATTTCAAAAGTTTCCGTAACACCGTTCAAATTCATATACGGCAAGCCGTCAGTCACGCTATTGAATAGCATCCAGTGATCCAGGGTTGGGCCGCTGCTCAACCGTTCCATGTCTTGATCATTTTTAAAGTCCCAGCCTGTTTTCGGATGCAAAGCAAGGATTCTGGGCGAGCCCTGAGAGGTTCCGGCTTGTTTATGGTTCGTGTACTGTTCTCGAATTGATGCGGTGTCATATTGGTCCTTGTTCAGTCTGTCCCGAGAGATTCTGGGTTCGAGCCCATCATTTTCGCTGGACATACGAACGTTCAAGTAAGCTCCGGGAAGGTTGGTCAAGCATGTGCTGATCGATACTGTTGCATCGAAGGAGCCAGGTGGTGGTCGCAGACGTACCCAGATCTCGTCTTCTGATAGTGACCATTTTTTGGCGGATTGTGACATCCGATAGGTTCCTTCTCTCTCCTTTCCGTCTTTCTTTATGTATTTCCGCCATTCATCTATAGACCCCGTCGCATTGAAGATGAGGAATGTGCTGGTTCCGGACGGTGATCTTGGAAGCTTTGTCGGCTTAAGCTTAGGCAACCTGGTAGATTGGCTGTCTAGCGCTTGCACCCCTCCCGTAGTTGCACAAAAGGATATCGACCAGTATGGGGTCTTTTCAGCATCTTTGGGTGCCGGGAATACACATGTGAAGTACCATCCCGCCCCCAGAGGTGGATTGTAATCTGCATGAAAGAGTGAAGGATTCTTGGGAATTTTGAAGGAGCCTGTGACAAATACCTCATCAAACTGATAAGGTCGACCGTTCCCTCTCCTGTTGTTTGTTGACATAACTGTTGAAAACGAAATATCTTCGAGGTCCAAGTTCGGACGGGTACAGACCACCCTCGAGTCAAACACAACACTGGGGCCGTCATATCCTCGCAGAGTCGTGCGATCAGACGCATTGCTGAAAGGCAAAATCGCTCGTATAGCCGTTCCTGAATCGTCGACACTCTCGGCATCATGACCCTTAGTGTCTCGAACACCGTCGTAACCGAGCTCGGCAAAGCGAAAATAAGAATTGGGCTGTGAATTCCAGATCTTTGATCCTTTCAGGGTGCCAACTCTAGCGCCCCCCAAGAAACCCAAGGAATCTTCACTGCCAAGCGCATCTTCTGGTCGGCTATTCCCGTACAATAACTCCTGAGACCTGTTGGGCGTCTTGATATTGATGTTCTGAAAGTCGACCAGAAGAATTGTCGACGTGAAGTTCGAAGCCGCTGTCAAAAGAACCGCAAGGCAAATTGCAACTCCAAAAGGGGTCCCTAATGTCTTTCTCGAAACCAGATTATACGGGGATGTAGAAAGAGCTCTGAGCATCGAGATAAGAGGAGCAGAGCTCAATGGCACACCAGTTCTCTCAACCAGAAGCGAGGCTGTCATGCCGGTCAATACGCCCATCTGAAACCCAATGCAGACGCGAATGATAGCGGCGGTGAGAGTGACCGTCACCGAAATCCAGTTTGCTGCCACAAACAGGAACCATAATTCACCGTTATCGATTTGACCGGCTTGCGCTCGCATGGAAGACCGCCAGAGATAGGTGAGAAGAGCAATGCCCAATATAATGCCAACTGTTCCTAGGACGAGTACGCAAATACCAAATAAGCCGAGGGCTTTCAAACGGGTTGGCGATGAGATACGGGCTGCTGTATCGTCCAAAGACCCTGCCTCGTTCAGCAATGATGTTTCATCATCGCACTCTACCTGATCTGGTCGTTTCTGCTGACTGGCAGACACAGGTGATGAAGGCCTCGCATTTTGCTGGCGGAAGTCTTCGAGTGGCAGGCTGTCGGATTTGCATATGGGGCTATTTGGTTGAGATTTGCGTCTGCGAAGACTTTGTATGGTTGTTATGTCGTCCATCGTATGTCTTAGGTGATTGCTATGACTGAAATCGTAAAAAGATCGATGAGGTATTGTGCGCAGAAGACCAAATGCCGGAATTCCGGCGCTCTGTCTTGCTCGCTATATGTGTTTTCTAGATGTCTCAGGAGGCACGTGAAGAGGAGTTGCCAAGGCAGGCGGAGCGACCTTGGCAGGAAGCTGAAATGTTGTGCGACGATGAGAAGGCTGGTGGCTTATCGTATTATAGGTATTCCAACATGTGGCAGGCCACACTTAAAGATCTTTTGGGGGTGATGCAATGAGGCTGTGTAATCATAATCACACTCGGCGAACGCCGACAGAAGAAGCCAAACGCAATTGGTAGCATAGAGACCCAGCTTCAAAAAGTAGGTATTCGCAGACCAACTGATTTTGAAGGTGTAGCCTCGTAAAGTATCTCCCTAGCAAGTAACAATTCAATTTAGTTAAAGTTGTCACTAATTTCACTTGACTGAGAGCAAATCATTGTGTCAACCACTCTATTTGAATTGGAATGGTCGGAACTTGCTGGCTATGTTCGTAGATTTCTCTTAGTTACTTGTTGTGTATCGCCTTCTGACCGTCTATTTGGATCAAAATTCTGACCACCCACCACCTTTGCCCCCGGCCCAAACGGGAAAGAAATTGACGTGCAAACTGATAGTGCTCACTCAACCACGATCTTTCAAACAATCTTCTCACAGAATGACAACAACGAAGACGCGTTCATGATGTCAAATGTGGTGACCAACGCCCCCAGCTCGTTGCGCACCCAGTTACGTACCTCAACCGCCGCCAACGAATCAATACCATACACTGACAGGGGTCGAGCTGGATCCGTGGGCTCTGAGAGACGGAGCATGCGGACAAAACATTTGTTCACGACATCCACTAGAAAAACGAATTGGTTTAGTAAATTGACCTGCTGAACATCAAGGGCGATGAGAGAAAATACAAGATCCTGCATACCTGTTGCTGCTACCTGTGCTGAAGTCTCAGCCGACTTCGACTTCAAGAGGAGAAGCAGCGCCTGCACATCTGCGTTGGCGCTATTGCCGCCCTCGCCGGCAACCCTGCCCCCGGCAGAACCGGTCCGCAGCGCCGCGAACCGGGCGTCTTGCAAGAGCGCCGAGTCAGCAGGCTGCGGCGCCACGATACCAGTGACCATCTGCGTAGCCGACGGCGATCCCGGGAACTTGCCTGCCTGCTGCAGGATGGAGAAGTAGAGGATCTGCCACAGGAGGCCGTTGTTGATGCCCTTAAAGGTGCGGCTGTCAAAGTGCTTCCCCTGGAACTCATCGTTGTTGGCGATGAAGCCGTCATCCTCGATGACGCCCAGGTCGATGGAGCACGCGGCTTGTCCGCGCTCGCGGCGGAAGGCGGCGAAGGAGTCGAGGAAGACGTTGGCGGCGGCGTAGTTAGTCTGTCCGCGCTGCCCAATGACACCGGAGATGCTGGAGAGCATGGTGAAGAAGCCGAGTTCGAGGCCGAGCTTTTCGGCTGCGTCGTGGAGGTTCCATGTACCTTGAATCTTGCAGCCGACGGCTTGATGGTATTCTTCCAGTGTCATGGAGTCGAACGGTCGGTTCTAGCGGAGCAAAATGTTAGAAACCAATCCATACCTTGTCTGTAAGAAAACACTTACCCGGAGGACCATCGCGCCCTAGATAATTCCCCCAACTGGGAAGGACGTCTGGTTGAAGGCCCGCTGGACGTCGCCCTTGCTGGTCACGTCGGTTGTCAGGAGATCAATGCTCGATCCAAGGGCCTTGACCTGCTTGACGATAGAACGGGACTTTCGTCTGTGTGCCCGCTTCTGGAGATAACCGCCAAGTGCTTCGCGCCACTCTTGGCGAGGTAGATGGCCAGGGCACCGCAGAGACCACGGAGACCGCCTACGATCAGATATGTAGCATCATCGCGGAAGTGGAGGGTCTTCGGCGCGCGTCGGACCTTTTCGAAATCAGTATAAGGTTTTCTACAATCATGTTTTTGTTTTTAGGTGGATGGCAACTTACGGGGACCGAAATCTTCGCCTCGGGGCCGTCCGAAATGACGACCTTACCAATGTGCTTACCTGCGCGCAGGTAGCGAACGGCGTTGGCGACGTCGGTGAAGGAGAAAACGTGGATGGGTTTGATTGGCTTGACGTGACGTCCCTCGAGTAGTTCAAAGAGCTTGGTAATAAGACTTGAAGAGAACATAAGTCAGTCATTATATCCTCGAGATGCGACAGTGGGTGGTGAGGGAGGTATGCCTACCGGGCAATGAGGTGATCGGGGGCTCTCTGGTGAGACATATCAACGGCTCTCAGGGAGATATTGCGGTCGAGTGGCTCCATGGCAAGGCTGTTGCGATCCACGATGTCTTTCTTACCAATCTCGACCATAATACCTCCGTCGGCGAGGACGCGGAAGGACTCATCCAGCATGTCGCCGGTGAGAGAGTTGAGAATGATAACGACACCTCGGCCACCCGTCGCAGCTAAGATTTGGTCACCGAAAGATTTGTCGCGGGAGTTGAAGATGTGGTCGTCCTCTAGACCGAAAGTGGACTTAACGAATTCTCTCTTGTCAGGAGAACCAACAGTCGCAAAGAATTAGGGGAGGGCAAGTGTTAGTGAGTGCTCCCGGAGTGGAAAACCGCATCACAAGAAGGAACTGCTGCAACTTACCTCCGCACCGGCATACTGAGCCAGCTGCAGAGAGGAGATGCCTACACCACCCGCCGCGGAGTGGATCAGTACGGTCTTGCCGGCCTTAACATCTGCCATGTCGAACAATGAGAAGATGGAAGTCAAGTAAACACCACAAAGAGTGGCAGCCTCTTCGAACGACATCCAGTCAGGGAGGGCATGCACTCGTCCGGGCCGGGTGCGGACGCGGTTGGAAATGGTCGCCGGGGTGAAGACCACAACACGTTGTCCAACCGTGAGTGAGGTGACACTGGGCGAGACCTTTGTCACGATGCCAGCCGCCTCGCCACCCAGTTCGCGCTCGTCACCAGGAACTATGCCCATGGTTACAACGACGTCCGTGTAATTCAGACCAGCGGCGTAAACCTCGACCTCGACGTAGCCATCCTCAAGCGGCTGAGGTTCCGCCGTCACCTCGTGGTAATGAATGGAATCCATGTCGCCCAGACGCTCTGCGCCCATGTTGATGATGGTATCGCTGGCGTGGATGTCCAGTACCTCTGTTTTACGGTCGCTGGGGTGATGTCCCTGGAGCCTGGTGATTTCCCAGTCCGGCAGCAGACGGCTAACATGAACGACGTGTGGTCCCGCAGCCAGGGCATGTCACCGAGGCGGAGGGTCTTTTGGAAGATGGGAGACTGCCACGCGGTGCCGTTCATCTTCGATCCCAGGAGGTCGTGGTTGATGAACTTCTTGAAGCGCCAGTCACGGCTGGCCTGGGTCTCGTGCCAGTACCGCTGGGAGTGGTTCCACGGTCAGTTGAGTTTCTTATTAGAAATTGGTTTTGCCACGACCAACTTCGGTGCTAAATTGACGATGAGCTGCCAGACCTTCAAGTATTAGCAGTCATCTTCGCGTTCAATGTATTAGTGTTAAGGAACTTCATTGAGTCTGCCACAGGATAATTTGAACTTAGAGGTTCGAAGTTTACATCGATTTATATTGAGTAAAATTTGCATTCAAAACTGAACGCCGCTTTCGCTCTCTATTGTATTTTACACACGCTGTCTATTATCTTTCTAGGTGTTCTCGGAGTCTTCACCTTGTATATGAATCCATCATGTCTAACATCTTCTGGCCTCAACCTCTAGATCGGACCCGCTCCGTACCAACATGACAACCCCTGCCTCAAACCCCTCCGTCACGGCCAGATGCAACGGCGTGTTCCCGTCCGCGTCGTACGCGTCCAAGAGACGCGCCAACCGAGCTTCCGCTTGCCCAATCGGATGTACGCCGTCGACAACCCCCTGTTCGATCTCCGCCAGCAACAGCCGCAACACCTGCTCCCTCCGGTGGAGCACGGCTAGGTGCAACACGGAGCGTTGATTGTTATCGACGGTGTCGCAGCGGGTGCCGGCGGTCAGGAGCGCGCGCACTACCGGCACGAGGCCGGCAACCACGGCGTGCATCAAAGGCGTGCGGCCCTCGCCGTCCGGGGCGTTGCAGTCCATGCCATGATGGCTCAGCAGCATCTGGGTTATGCGGTCATGGCCTTTTTGCGCAGCGATATGGAGAACGCCGAGGTACTCGTATGTACAGGCTGGCTTCTGGGGAGTCGGTATTGTTGGCGTAGTTGATGATGGAGAACGATGACCTCTAGTTCCGGGAGGCACAATACTGCGACTGTTGTTGTTTGTCGCGCTGTGTGACAATGAAGATGACGCTGAGAGTTGTTCGAATGGGCTTTGTCGGGGGGTTGAGGTGGAACCGTGAGACGGGGAACGAGAGGATGGTGATGCTGAAGAATACTGGTATGATGGGGATATAATCTCGCTGGTATCAAGCCCTTGCCTTGTGGTTCTTGCCGCTGTCGGTGTATTTGTGCTATTCTGAACAAGTTGGTCGATGTTCAAGTCGTAGCTGAAGCTGTTCTCTTGAGATTTGATCACATCAAAAGCGGAAGGGATTGTTTCGCTCGGATCATGATGTAGTTCAAAAGGTAACGAGGTGGGCTCGGGGTTCAGGAACTGTTCACCACTGGTTGTCATGGTGGCGCTTTGCTGCTGTTGCTGTTGCTGCTGCTCGCGTCGTTCTTCACGAAGGGGATGGCAAACCCCAAGTTAGTGATGCTGTGACGAATGCTGCGAGTAGAGACACAGATAGACATACGGCGGAATCTGCGCTGCGCATTGCGGTTCTGCAGCCGACGGCGTTCGCTGATGGTTGTGGGAGATGGCAAGTTGAGTTGCATTGTGTTCGGGGCGGGAACGTCGTGGAACCGCATCATCTGAAGAGGCACCTGATTCCTGGCAGTGCGATCTTAAGTTCAGTATACTTGGCCGCCACAGAGAGGTCCCTCTTGGAATTCCACACACGGTCTTCGGACAATTCAGTGGATATACGACAATAAAAGACTTGGCAGGCTGACGTGAGAACGACTGTGGGGGGGTTCTGGCTCGGGAGCACGGCAGCCCGTAAGGCTGAGTCTTCCTATCTCTCCGGAGCTCTGAAACATGCTGTCTTGAAGACAGCTTTCGTGAATGATCTTTGCCGCCACGCCTTCGGAGATAGAAGATGAAGAATCCAACGGGCCGCCGCGTAGCTAACAGGGAAGCCTTCCTGCCGATTCATGGCGGGCTGGTGGCTGGCTGGCTGTTGCCTGGCGGGCACTATCAAGATATACCATGTCTTGGCTGTTGGCCAGATGCAATAGGTCCACTAACAGTGTCTTGTCTTACTTCTGCAGGGAATCGGCGTAGCTGGCTTTCCTGTTGGAGGTCTCGGCCCTCTCCGGGATCCCAGGGGGAATCCCGTTCCGTATCATCCACACCAGATGGAGGAATTTCTCCGTTTCGTCAGAGCTGCGCCGCAAACTGATTGCATTGAATCGTAACAGATTGCGTGCGAATGCTAACCGAACCAATCCACCACGTGTATCTCGCTGTATCCGCTCCCTTGCATATCTAACATCGCCTTTCCTAAGCAAACGGTGCCCACTTCTCCTCGCTCCAAGCCCAGAGCCTCTCTCCATACCCCTGACCCCCTTCTTCTTTGGTATCTCCTGCCTTTATTAAATCCTGTCGAGGCGTAGCCGCATTCGCCCGGATGCGACCCCAGGGGGTGATATACGAGCCGCTGCTCTCGGGCGTCACCTCGGGTGACAGACCAGCAAACAGCTCAGTGTACGCGCCGTAGAGGGGCTCTGACAACATCACCGCGTTCATGATCATCATCACCGGCGCCGGCGTGCCGTCAAAGGACGCCGTCTTTAGGTATCCGGGGTTCAGACATACGCTCACGATGCCGTCCTGCTTGGTGTGCCGGCGCGCGAATTCGCGACTCAGGAACCACGTCCCCGCCTTGGACGCGCCGTAGTTCTGCATCGGCTTGCTCGTCCCCTTATCGATTACGGCCCAGTCGAGGCCGTTCGGTGGCGACCCAGCCTCCGCGAGACTGCTCGACGTCCAGACGACGCGCGTCTGCCCAGCGGAGGACCAGCTCGCTGCGGCACGCAGTTGCGGCACGAGGAGATGCGTGAAGAATAAGGTCGCGACGCAGTGGAAACCGATCATCGGCTCAAGGTCTTGTTTGGTGCGCTGGCCCGGGGTCACGGCGTTGGCGCCTGTGCCGGCGTTGTTCCAGAGCACATCTAGGCGAGATTCTTGATCAGCAAATGTTTTGGCTGCAGCTTTGACGATGGTGAGGTTGTTCAGGTCCAGATGGAGGAATTTCAGTTGGCCACTCGTCGTGGAGTTGCCGGATTTCGTCGTGATGTCTTTGATCGCAGCTCCTACCTTGTCCTACGTCATATCAGCGAATCGATTCTCTTGACTTCTTTTGCCTGTAACCATCCTACCTTAGAGCGTGATGCGATGTAGACAGTAGCACCCGCTGCATAGAGAATTTTGGTCAACTCTAAGCCGATACCCGCATTGCCGCCTGTCACGATGAATACTCGACCACGCTGAGAGTTGGCGGACACATCAGCCTCGGTAAAGGTGGGCTTGGGCGGGTAGATTTGCGTGAGAGTGGCGCGGAGACTAGAAAAGGGTGCCATGACGGCTTTTCGTTGGTGGCCTCGGAATTTTGCTGAAGGGCAGTGAGGGATGTTTCTGTTGGTGAGGTAATTATGAGAAAGCAAGCAGACCGAGTGAGGTAGGAGTAGAACTCCGTCGTCAGGGACGCGGAGGATTTAGGTACTTCGTTGAGAATCATTCTTGCATCCGCACAAGTTTTGTATCCGCCTCGGAATTTCTAAGCAAAGAAAAACAAACGAGACATAAAGCGGGCGTTGATATGTAGGGATCAGATTCCCAACGGCTGTATCGTAAGGACCTTGCAACTCGGTAGGCACGATGCGGCTAATCCTGATAGCGTACAGTGACAGAGAGCACAGCAGGCGCTGTTTGACTGGAGGATTTACGGGATGGCTTCTTCAGGCCATTCGTATTCAGCCGGGTAAACTGCAGTGGCGCCCGCCGCTCACATGTGCAGGCTGGAGGCACGGGACGGGACGGTGGCTAGCTGCTCAATGCAGGTCGTAAGCATGGAATCCCTGCATCGACAAGGTACACAAGGTCTACTCCCTAACTCGGTACGTATCCAGTCATCACAAAATGATGGCGTGCGTGGGGGTATTTCTTACAAGTGTCGACTTGAATGTCAGCTATGCACGATTATCTGCGGTCATGCGAACTAGACTCTGATCGACTGGAACAACAGGATCAATCGCCAGATGTATCATGTAGGCATGACCAGACCTTTCCAAAAGGCGATGAAGACTTTGGTCCAGAAGGTGAATTGATGACTTGAGAATGATAGGGCTTAGTCTGGCTTACCTTGGGCTGTCTCTCCGCTCGAATGTTGAATATGTTAATCATGTACAATAATTAGGAAACGCCTGGGCCTACGCTGCGGCTTGCCGTCTAGTTGAGAAGCTGTTGTCCAAAACATCGCCATTGTGAAAACAAACAGAAGGTTTACATCAGCTACAAACTCAGACAATATCATCTTGAGTTTGACGGCCAGGACAGGGTCATAGACACAACATTGATGGAGGGCTTTAATGACGCGAGTCGGAGGCCATTGGCCAACGTATTCCAGCCTGATTCAGGTTTTACCACCACGGCTTCAGCAACAGCTCTCGTGAATGCTATCGGGTATATCACATGGATCGGCATCTATCGACTCTGCTTCAGCCCTATTGCCAAGTTCCCTGGTCCGAAGCTGGCCGCCCTGACCGGCCTGTACGAAGCATACTTCGATCTCGTCCCTAAGGGCGGTGGGCAGTTCCCTTCGCCATTAAACGCATGCACGAGAAATACGGACCTATCGTGCGCATCAACCCCGATGAGCTACACATCGACGATCCTGACTTCTTCGACACGCTGTATCCGACAAGCACACCATATGATAAGCTCAAGCGGCTCGAGAACCGCTTCGGGATCCCAAGCGCGACGTTCATCACAGCCCGCCATGAGCTACACAAGATACGCCGCGCAGCCATCAGCCCCTTCTTTGCCAAGTCCAAGGTGCGCGAGCAGACGGGCGATATTCAAGCACTGATGAACACTATCTCGCGTCGTCTCACAACCGAATATGCTGGTACCGGTCGTGTGCTCAATCTTCATGACGTCTGGCGCTGCTTCGCCGCCGAAAACATCATGGACCTCGTCTTCGGTTCGCCGTTGGACTTACATCTGTCTGCAGAGTTTCGCGCTCCTTTCACGGGAGCCATCACGCGGGTGACCAACTGGTCCCATGCCACCCGCTACCTGCCAATCCTGGGGGCGGCAACTGATAGTCTGCCGTATTGGCTTGCGAAACGGCTTTTTCCACCCTTTGAACCCATCATCGGGTACCGGGAGGTAAGTCACAAAAGTTCTTCGCTTCTCTTTACCCTTGGTCTACTGAATTCCGACCTTGAATCACCAGGAAATGTCCCGACAAACCGCCACCGTCCGCGCTAGCCATCAAGCCACCGGGGGCAATGAGAAGCCGCGCCTAGGGCAGACCGGCCACGCAACTGTTTTCCATGAGATGCTAGCCTCCAGCCTCCCTAGTGAGACACTAGAACACAAGCGCGTGCAGCATGAGGCCGAATCACTTATTGGTGCCGGGCTTGAGACCACTGCCTGGACGCTTGCTCTGGGCAGCTTCTACATCTTGCACAATCCCGAAGTCTACGCCAAGTTGCAATCTGAGCTGACAAGCGCCTTACCAGACGCGACTCAGATTCCTCCGTGGGCCACCTCGGAAACACTTCCCTACCTCACCGCGATCGTCAAGGAGAGTACGTTCACCCTTACCCCAAGGGCCACATCATCTTCTTCCCATGGAAATCTGTCATGCTAATTTTTTGCAGCTTTGAGAATGGGCATGGGTGTCATCGAACGTTTAGTCCGCATCAACCGTAACCCAGCAAACCCCTGGGTTTACAATGGCACCGTCATCCCGGCCAATGTCGCCGTCAGCATGGATCAATACCACATGCTGATGAATGAGCGCGTCTTCCCAGAGCCGACCGCCTTCCGACCGGAACGCTGGCTTGGCGAACCCCTGGGACCAGATGGTATACACCCGCTCACCCACTACATGACCGTCTTCGGCCGCGGCACGCGAATGTGCCTCGGCCTGAACCTAGCGTACTCGGAGCTGCATATCGGGTTCGCCACACTGATCCGAAGACATAAGCTACGACTAGTTGATACTTCTGTACGGGATGTGGCATTTTATGCGGAGAACACAATCTTATCTCCATGGCCTGGAACTCAGGGGATTCGGGTGTTGGTGGATAGCTAGAGTCTGAGCAATGGGTATATTATCAGGTGTTGCGCTAAGCTGGTGCAGACCCCGGCGGTTTGGCGCATCCATGGAGGCAAGTCTGGCTTGAGGCTTTTTGTTACATTGATGATCGCCTCGAAAACCCCTTCAGGAATGGGGCCAACTTGACTAGATGAGGGAATGTGCTCTGGGACCTAACGAGTCTTAGTAGAGCTGATAGAATTCAAGGTATTATAGCAACTCGGTGTTCTATTTATAACAGCCCTAGAATTAACAGTACTCTTTTGCAGTCGGGATAACATTTATATATCATCAACAGATTCAAATCTTGCTCAGGTAGGCGACGCATCTTCGATAATCAGTGCACCTAGTCATACACATTCATATCTCATCATGTCTCATAATTCCGATAGGAATTTCGTATAGGCCAATGGTTGCTTCATACGCTTATCTTTTGGTCACTCTCTTGCGCTTCCCGTCGGTCGGAGAATGAGCGTCCAGTCACGTTGCGGCAGAAGCTGTCAGACCACGTACATTCGACAATACCCCAATCCCGAAGTGCCAGCTCGCACCCCGCGGTCTGGCCGGCACAGGCACAGGAAAAGTCACAGAACAATTCCAATCACCTGATTTGACGTGGCCCAGGCATTTTCAGGTTGCAACACCAGCTGTCCAAGCTGCTGATCTGCTCATCCCGACCCCGCGTCATCATGGAGGCCTCAACCCCCGACAGAACTACGACTCTTATCTTTCGACTACTACAAGCCATTTCCTCCGGCCAGTTGTAAGATCATCAGTGTCATTTCATCTCGCAGAAATGGATGATGACGGTATGGTCCCGACGCCCCCGGCGTCCGCTGGAGCCTCTCCAAAGGGTTTCGATTTCAGCGCGGAGACTTTGGTAAGTCTTCTTATCTCGTGTGGCAAAATGGGTTGCTGTTAATCGTAGCCTAACCTCGCGACAGTCCCAGTATCCCGCTGTCAAGCACGCAGCGCTTCCAGCCGATGGCGCAGGCCACGATACCTTTTCCTTCAAGCACCTCGTCCTCCTCCTCTTCCTCGCTCCTGCTTTTGCGACATGGAAATTATGCGGAGGATACAACACCTTGGTAATCGCTCTATTCACCCTCCTGGTGCCCGTTGTCGGTGCATTCTGGTACGTTGCATCGTGCATCTCGCCTCCGATCAACGAGAAAATTCGGAATCCGGGCCGGCCAATCGAAGAATACCTTACCTACACAAAGGACCACGACCGAGACAGATACTGGGGAAGGCGTAAGATACCAATGGGTACTTTCACGAAGATGTACTTTGACGGTGAGGTGGATTTCAACGGTGATGCGTTGGAAATCCTGGAATGGAGGTATGACTGGGCGAGTTGGAGGTTTACGAGGGAGATGACGAGGTTTGTGGTGTTGACGTGGCTTCCCGAAGCGGTTGAGTCCTATCTGTTTCCAAGTGAGTCGGTTGAAACTTTGCGAGGGCCTTGAATACCAGAGCACTGACTGACTTGCCCTGTAGGAGAAAGACCACTCGTAGAAGATCAACGCGGCAGCGACTTTTACTCTTGGTTCCTTGGCCCACGATTGGCTTACACTTCAGGCATCATATCGGACATGAGCATCGAGGAATCGCTTGAAGAGCTCCAAGACAACAAGCTTGCTGCGGTCTGCGAAAAGATCAACCTAACATCAGGAGATCGGCTTCTCGACATCGGTTGCGGATGGGGCTCCCTCGTAACCTTCGCCAGCGTCAATTACGGTGCCCTCGCGACTGGGCTGACGATCGACCCGTATCAAGCTGATTTGGGAAACTGGCGCCTCCAATCTGCAGAGATATCCGAAACCCAAAGCCGTATATGCAATCGGGCGTATGAGGGTCCCGACGAAAAGTATGACAAGATCGTATGTCTGCAGTCATCTGGGCAGGAGGATTTGAAAGTGGCCGGGTTCTTTGAGCGCTGCTATGAGATGCTCGCGGATGATGGGGTGTTTCATGTCGAGATCACCGCGTCGAGACGTGCGTGGCAATACGAGGATTTGGTCTGGGGGTTGTTCTTGAAGAGGCATGTCATTCCTTGGATGACGATGGGATGGGACTTGGGGAAGTACGTGACTTCTCTCGAGGAGGCCGGATTTGAGATTCAAAGGTACGACTTTCTGATATCATCTTGTTCATTTGGCCAAAAGGTGTGCTTACACACAACAGCCTCGACAACATCGGGCAGCATTATTCAGCCACCTTATGGAGGTGGTACAAGAATTGGACGGGCAATCGTGACAAGATCACAGCCAAGTACGGTGAAAAGTCATACCGGGTAAGTCTCCCACAAGAATCACCCCACGTTGCCTACAACGAAATATGCTCATTAACTTAGATCTGGGAATACTTCCTTGCGATGGCGACCATCATATTCCGGCAAGGAACCATGGGTCGTTACCAGATTACGATGGTGAAGAATCTCAACGGAGTCCACCGTGCGGGTTTACAGCAGACCCGGTTTTCTGTGGCTGAGGCGTTGACCACCAGCAGAGCACAAGGGAAAAACAGGTTCCCTATTTGATACTCGGACTCCAATCGAACATATCAACTGTGCGAACCGATCACTCCATAAGTAATAAGTAATCTGCGAGGCTTCTTAAGGGTGTTGTAAAGTGCAAGCGTTGTCCCTTTATGCTGGAACAGGGGAAATAAGCGAGGGTATGTCTGTATTCGACGTGGAATTAGTTACGGGTGCACATGAATAACCCACGTTCAAATTGTTTAACCTAATGATACTACAGCCGAGGAAAATGTCAACCTACACTGCGGAACGTGACCCTAATTAACAGGGTTAATAAGGTCTCGTCCCTGTGGGACATGAACACAAACACCGTGCGCCTGCTGAACCAGCCAGCCTGTGTGTGGGTACGACCCTCTTTGCACTCACGCTCCCTTTAATGCAGGATCGACGGCATTAAAACGAGTGGGCATTAGCCCTGATCGGCAAAACCAATGGACACTGTGGGAATTGAACCCACGACCTTTCACAAGGCACACCGCCGGTCTCGACATGGATGCGAAGCGAAAATCATACCCCTAGACCAAGCGCCCGTTGTTATCATGAGCCAAATTTTGTCTATCTTGAAGCTGCACGTCTCCCAGCTAGCCGTGAAGACATTTTTCTCTCTCTCCAAGGCCCCTAGGATTAGTCCTCCCTGTAAATGGATCCAACCCCCTTCCCGTTTTCTAGCTGCGGCTACTATGCTGCAACGCGTTGTAGCCGCGTCGGCAAACGTCACTTGCTATCATCATGCTTGACTTTGCGTACACACGCCATTGTCTCTTGGATGAAACCGTGCAACTCAAGAGTATCTATTAGAAACATTTTATACAGAGGCCTAGTTGTACACAGCATGTGAGAGTCATGCCTATTGAAACATATCATGCCGGTGTTGCCATCTCACAAGCAGTGATCCGGGTTGGTATCCGATGGATTTCCCCACCACATTGGGAACGGGTGCGGGTTGCCACTTGCACCAAACACTGCGAACGACAGGATGAAGATGATAAGTTGGGATCCTCCGTCCAGCGCAGCCCCAATGAGGTAGTTGTACTTGTTGTAGATTCGCGGTCTTCTGCGACGGAGCCAGAACTGGGAGAAGACGCCCACTGCGATTGAAGACCAGATCCACGACGTATTGCCGAAGAATGTACCGCCAGCAGATGCAATGATAATGGTTGTGTTGATTGGCCAATCCTTGATTCGGGGAACCAGTTTGATTAGACCCCAGTGCAGAATCGGGAGGGCTGCGCCGATGAGGAGCCCTAGGGGAACGACGAAATAGCGACCTCTTGGGCCGTACATCTCTTTGGCGAGCGCCCACGTAATGGCTTGAGAGTTCAGACTCTGCATAGAAGAACCGCTCCAGACGATAGTACCAATGGGGTCAAGGAGAACCTCTCGTTGGTTCGTCACAATTGTGGTCATTACAGCGTAGTTCAACGCAGCACCAAGCAAAGTGCCGTAGATCTGGGTGCAGAACATAACGCGATGCGGGACCTTGGTGTATTGACCCACCTTCAGCCAGTTGGCGAGGCTTACGGCGAGAAGGATAACTTGATGGGACCAACTTGCGAAGAAGAGGTTTGCGAGGGGTCTACCAGGGTGGAGAAAGCCAGCAAACATTTTGGAGAGTTGGTTGGTGCTGACTCCGCTTCCGAAGAGGCCGTTGAGAATGCATGAAAATGGTGCGATGATGGTTCCAAGAAGCAGTGCGACTATGTAGCCCCACCAAGGCAACGTTGTCTCGCCGATGATGTTGACAACCAAACCGGCAATGAAGGTAAGGCCGAAGAGAGCGAGGTACCACCACATTGGAGTCTCTTTATATTTCAGCATTGCCTGGTAGTGAATGTCAGGTTGGGTCTGGGTACGAGCACTCTTCCACGCTTCTTTCATATCTTTTCCATAGAAGATGATGACGTGGGTAATCAGCGCGCCAATCGCCATGCTGGCAGTGAGATAGCCCCAGACCGTGCTAGACGACAAATTCGGCAGGCCAGCCTGGTCGACCTTGCCGTAGTCGATAATCCCACGGTCGTTCAGTACTGACGTCGTCGCCCATCTAGTGCCGTTATTGGCGAAGAGGGATGTAGACATAAATGGGAACGACTTGGCACTCCAGGTGTTGCTGTAGAAGAGTGCTGGCATAACGATGTACCATATGGCATAACCGATCCATGAATTCACCTGTTGCTTAAAGGGGAGCGCAAGATACGTGCTTTGAATATACTGCCAATCCAGCGAGAAGTTGAGCAAGCCCATGCCTTCGTTCGAAGATGCTCCGCCGAAGATGGTTGTGATGACGGTGCGAGTATTGGTCGGCGCGCCCATGGACGCGAGGCAGAATATGGAAATGCCGCCAAACCAGGTCACCATGTAAGCTGGAAAAAGCTCCCACACAGCGGCGATTCCCATAGCAATGCCGAACTTCTTTAAGCGGTCGCGGTTGGCAATGCGGTCGAAATGCAGGTTTTGGAAGAGGACTACCTGGGGAAGAGTGCCCCAGTAGACCATCTCGCCCGGGTACACGACCAATGGGCGAAGAAGGCCGGCGAGGACGAAGCCGCAGAGAGAGATTGAGAAGGTGGCTAGGACCACAGTAGTGGCCGTGACTTCGCGGTCATAGAAGAGGCGCTCCACAGCGTAGATCTCGATTCCGGACAATCCATTATTACCGGAAGACGCGATAAGAGATGCAACAACGTGTTCTTTAATGCCAAATGGTTGACCGGAGTTGGTAAATCGAAGGACTTTCTGCAGCAGAGGCCATTTAAAACGATCCGGCCGCGGCGTTGCTAGAGCCCAGGCCTCGCCGAATATGAACACCAAGAGTTGGAGAAAAACTGCAGAAACTGCCATTTGAGTCGGCTTGAACGTGTAGAGCATCGTGATAACGCTGGCAAGTGCGGTGAGTGCGGTACCGAGGACGATGGAGCGAAACGTCAAGGCAGGGTCGCCATCGTCGCGAACCGACACCACGAACTTGGACACATCAGCTCCTATTTGATCATGTTAGAGCTAGCGACTATGAAATCTTCTTGGAGGATGAATTACCAGTGCGAATGACCGGATATCCGTTGACATATTCAACATCGTCATCCACGAGCGTGTCATCCGACTTGGCTTTCTCGTTATCGCTGGTTGAAGCCTCAGACGGGGTTCCAGTGACGGCGGTCTCGAGAGCGGGCTTGTTCGAGTCGGCGAAAACTTTGTCGCCCAGCGACGGCTCCTTGGGGCTCGACATCTCTCAGGCGCGACGGCTGCAGAGCGAGAACGACAGAAAAGAGCACCAAAGAGCGCTTGGGTTGCAGTATCGAGCCGAGGAGGGTAGTGGAAGTTCTATTCGTTACTGCCACGTGGTGATGTTACTGCGATGGCAACGTTCGATGCGGAGATGTTTGTAGCATATTAGAATGATTTAACTTTGTCTGATCGACTCCATGTGAATGGGCATGGAGTAAGCAAAGAAGAGGCCGCACGGTCAGTGGCTCGCAATCGCCCATCATGGCTTCGATGGCACTGACTTTTGAGGGCAGGGATGATGCTGGAGGTTTTAGCCAACCCCATGACGTTTATTGTTCTTGTTTCTGCCAGTGCGTTCATATCAGGAAACAATCTAGTTGCAAGCCGAAGTCGTCGGATCTCCTTAGCCTCTCATGTTATGATGAAACAGTAAAGTTAAAAGCGTCCAGTGAGGCAACACCGTCAAACTGAAACTCGTCGCCGACACGGCCGCTTGCAACGCCGAGATATCTGAGATAAGCAGGACTGTTGACAATCACTACGGTCGTAGTAATATTCATAGTCAGGTGACCTCCCTCAATCAACCCGAATTCAACCTACAGCCCAGATGTCGAGTTTGCTAGTCCATCTCCCCACGTGGTGACCCCCACAGAATCAGATGCACAGCTGGAGAGTAGGACGGTCCCATTCTTCGATACAAACCCCGATCGGTGGGTATCGCCGGTGGGGGAACGCGCATCGATCCAAACTAAGGAGTACGGGCCGATGCGCGCGTGTCCCCAATGCCAAGATCCCACTGCTTGTGTAAATGGCACCGAACCCCAGTTCTTGTCATGATAACCAGATCCGGAGAAATTCAGAGTCGCACCTCCAAGCTTGAAGTTAGCAATTGCGGAAGCGTCTGGCTGTGGATTCGACCAGCCGACACCGGGAAGAACCTGTTGCTCGGCGCCGGGCGCATTCAATCCACAAGGGTATCTCGACGGCAAAGTCTAGAGAAAGATTAGCCATGGGAGACTCGAGAGGAAGTTCAATAACCTGGACGGACCGATCGCAAAGATAAACTTCCGTTGACTCCATATTCGGGAGAGTTGAGAATGACTTTGAACGATGTTTCGTTCGAGTCCAGGCCTCGGCCGCCAAAAGAGGCATTGGCGCCTCCCCATGCCCCGTTGATCTCGTCCTTGTCTTCACTCTCGATTATGAGCGCTCCATCGGAGGCAGGAATTGTGTGGCTGAATGCGCTGCCGTTGGCGAAACTGCCGGATACGATGACAGACATTGGCCCGCCCGTGTCGGAGGAAGGGAATGCCGTCGAGCTGGCCATTAAGAACATGATCGATATCGACTCGTTCGATGAGGTAGAGACTGCATCAAAATACCACCTGTTATTCAACCAATTGTCAGTATGATTTGAAGACTGGGGGAAAGGGGATTGGATCTTAAGGCCAGGGGTTTCTTCCATACCAATCATTTGTCGTTGCGTTCGGGCCTGAGTTGAGTCGCGGGCCGTCCGGACTAGTCGACGCGAAGTCCACGTGAACATCGCCAGACTGAAGTTCGTTCGGGAAGAAAGTCTGTTGGCTTACAGATATTCCGACCGAAATCGCGGCGATCATCGCATTAGATAGAAGATTCTTCATCTTTGTCGCTGCTGCTTGACTTCTCTCCCTATGGATCGTAGCACTGGAAGCGCATGGGAGAGGAATGCCGATTTACGAATAGCGACTGACAGAAACAAATGGTCGTCGAAACGAGGTTCAAAAGGGAATGGCCCGTTAATGACGCGTTTATATCGCTGGAGCCATCCGTAACCGGTGGCATCAACTACGACGCTATCGTGGTAATCGGCTGTGCAGCTTTGGCCATCGCAATTTAGTAAGGTTTGGACCGCTTCGTACGGACTTGCTGGCTCCCCGTTGTCCATCCCGAGGCGCTTTTCACGATCCTCCCAGGTCTTAAGGAGGCTCATTGTGTAGATGGGTGATTTCGTCCTGGGGACTAGGTATGTCAGGTTCAATCTGTAAAGGCCTTGTACGGACAAAACCCACCGCCATAGGTACCTTGTACAACCAGAAGCAATATCGTCAATCCAATCAGACAAAGATCTACACTTACCTAAGGGCTGGGCCGTTTTTGGAACTGTTGTCAATCCCGAGCTTTGCAGTACACTCGGCGAAACCTAGCCGAATCTGGCATCAACTTCCCGCGATGATTGACCCGGGGAGATAGGAGGCCCATTAAATAGTGCCGCGCAGCCACGCATGAGCTTTCTACATCGGCATTTCTCCTGAATAAGGAATCATAGTACATAATGTCATTGGCAAGAGTGCGTTGTATCGCTATGGCTCAGGTCCTCCTATGTGGCGGTGCAAAGGAGATGGCTTTGCGAGCTATCCAAAACCGTCGACCGATGCCGAACCTCGGGTTTTCAGTCAAATGCATCACAGGTCGGAGCCGCGAAGATGAATTGGTCCGCAGAGAACAGAGTGATGCTCAATGGGATAGTATTTATCATGGACCTCGACGCTGGATAGTTGGACTGATACCATCACCATCCACCATTAATCATCAACCCTCACACCAACAAGCAGAGAACAGTCACAAGCATGACGGCAAGCAACTTCAAAGTAATCGTCATTGGCGGAGGCCCTTCAGGACTCGTTACAGCCCATGCACTCCATCTGGCAGGCATAGACTTCATAGTCCTCGAGGGGAGAACCGACATTGTTGAAGATCTCGGCGCCAGCCTTGTTCTTGGTCCTCCAAGCATGCGAATCATGCATCAGTTCGGTATCTTCGAAAGATTGATGGAGATTGGTTGCGAAATCAATGTCACCAAGTCCTTCGACTTCTACCGTCACGAGATGAAGCATAGCACGAATATTCAGAACATGCGGAAGAAGTAAATTTGGCCCACCTTTCAATCGCATGCTTTTGGCTGACAACAGTCCTTTTCAAGTCATGGTCTTGCTCCAGTGGCCTTTCATCGAGCGCAACTCGTCGAGACTCTGTACGGCAGTCTACCAGCTGAGGCGAAAGAGAAAGTCGTTCTAGGCAAGAAGTTGGATGGTATTGAATCAGGGCCGAACGGGGTGACTGTTACGTGTGTTGACGGAAGCACATACGAAGGGTCCATCGTGATCGGTGCAGACGGTGTTCACAGCAAAACACGGCGATGCATGAGACAGCTCGCCCTCCGCGCAAACCCATCTCAGGACTGGGATCCCGAGATTCCATTCCAAGCACACTACCGATGCCTGTGGGCAAGCTTCAAGAATCCTGCAGAGCACGGCCAGAACTACGACACTCAACACAAGGACCGTAGCTTGATGTACATCACTGGCAAGGAGCGCGGCTGGATGTTCCTGTACCAAAAGCTTCCCGAGCCGACGACTCAGCGAACTTCCTTCAACCAGGCCGACATCGAAGCATTCGCAGATGGGTTCAAAGACTTTCCGGCAAACGAGACTCTCTACGCAAGAGATCTGTGGGCGAGAAGAGTGACAACCGGCATGGCGAATCTTGAGGAAGGCATCCTGAACAACTGGAGTTGGGGCCGCATCGTTCTCGTGGGAGATGCTTGCCACAAGTTCACTCCTAACGCTGGCTTGGGCCTCAATAACGGTATTCAAGACGTGGTCATGCTTTGCAACGGTCTGCGAGAGGCAGTGTGTTCGGATCCCAGTGGAAAGCCGGGTATCTCAGCTCTCAGCAAGATCTTCAAGGGTTATCAAGAGACTCGCAAGGGAATGCTGAAGCCCGAGGCGTCGCAGTCGGCCCAACTCACCCGCATGCAGTCTTGGACTAGTACACCCCACTATGTCATGTCCAAGTATGTGATGTCGACCGGCTGGGTAGAGTATCTGATGATCAACACTTTGGCTGCAAATGGTATTCGACAAGCTCTTGTACTCGACTACGTTCCGGGCGAGGAGCCGATCAAGGGTCGCGTGAGTTGGAAGCATCCTATTCCATCACCAAAGTCGGTTCTGGAATGACAAAGGAGGCGTCAGCGAAAGGGTCACTTTGTTTGAATCGTTTGGCTTGGTAGGTAGGTGCAACGGGTACTCAACAAGAGATAGATAGTGATAGATTTGTTGTAATAATGATGAATCTGAAACTCAATCATGGTATTGCCAATTAATCCACCTAACATGAATCTTGAAGGCGAGTGAAGACGAGTAATAGTCGGTAAATTGTGTGAGTAAAAGGTATTTGTTGTTTTGCGTCTGCGCAACAGGTGGAACAATTGAACGATAATGGTGACCTGGAGGGAGCAGTGTTCGATATTGAAAAATCCAATGCTGTTTCCTTCGTTGAACACTATGACCTTCTGGTAAACAGTGTATGTCGGACTTAGTTGCATGCGTCCATTCCTCTCCTTTCCTCCTCATTCCCTCGCTGCAGATATTACAAGTTATCCGTTCAATTAGAGGCTCATTCGGCCGCGATACCGCCGGTACGAGTCATTTGTTACCGTCAAACAGGTCGGAACATTTGTTCCCTACTAAAGCGTATGATACTTCATGTTGACGGGAATGAGCAGTGGAAGCAACAGGACACCGGGCAACTGATTGCTTCAAGATGGTCGAGAATCATCACAGTCTCAGCGTCACCTTCAAACAGGTGGGTAAGATTTTGGTGGCGGCTGAGTCTCATCTCTGTGGCCACTGCCCGGCGCCTTCCAGTTTCATGGTTGGCGGCACAGGCCCGGCTCCCGCCGGCCGGCAAGTTGCGATTGGCTCGTGAGGACTTCAGCAAGTCGGAATTATTCTAATCAGTACGAGTCAACTTCACCTCAGAGCCGATCGGCGTCGGAATTAATCAAGGTAAAGGTTCGTGTTTTTCCAACGACGAAAATTACTTCATTAGAATCTCCCGAGTCACTCACTTTGCCCATTCTACTGGATCCCGGAGACACTATCGAGCAGCTCCTGTCTGAACTTCTCACTTTGTCTGGTAGTGGATCTTTGCATTCCGATCTGACGATGTCAACCCATTGATGTGGATACTTGCCTTTGGCTCGTGCGGCCGTTATCCATCATTCAGACTAAGGGTCTGTGAACGAGCTTTCTAGGTCGTCAGCCTCAGTAGCAGAGACATGTCTCAGTTCGAAGTCATCCACGAGATTTCTTACCGTGAACAGCTCGCATGCCGGACAACAGTGCATGTACACATGCGCTTCCCCTCCTCTTTCTGTTGGCCTTCTGAATCGGCGTCGTCCATAGAAATGAAGTATTACCAGTGGTTGCAAAGGAAATGAGAAGGCGCTGAATGAAAGCCCACAATGTGGGACGCTAGTGATGAAACGACAGTCAGGACGAACGTTGAAGATAACGCCAAAAGTAAGTCCCCCTTTAGGTTCTCTGGGCAGAAATTCGTAAATCTGGGGATGAGTGAAGTTTACCAAAACCCCAGAGCCATCCAGACTTTGTCTGATTTCCGGCTCTAATTAGTCGCTGTCTTAGTATGCGAAGATTGAACTCTTCCAGGGTAACATCATAAGGCCAGGCCCTGGGTACCTGAGCGCCCATCAAAACACCTAATCAGGAAATTTCATGAAAGGTCTTCCAAAGGTTATCTGTATGAGCAGAAGGATGGCAGAGAACATCTTGGCTTAATGTGGTCACGCACTGCAACCGACACAATCTAAGGAATCACCTATTGGAACCGAAACCGACCTGGGAATCTTTGACAGCTGCGCGATTGACCAGGAGGCCCCATAGTGCAACAGTGTTTAAGACAGACTACCTACCAATGGGAGTGTTCGTCAATCGTTCACGATCATTTCCAGGGGCATTCTTGGCTTGTCAAAATCTGCCGACACGCACCAATCACAAGCCATGATCCGGAAACAAGAAATATCCATGGTTGGGCAGTCCCAATACATGCACAACTTAATGCATAAAAGACATGCTGATAGAGGAACAAAATCGCGATCCTGTCAACAGTGCCTGTGCGAAGAAAAGAATTACTACTTTAGGGCTAGTCTCGGGGGCTTCTCCCGCAGATCTACAAACCGTTCGCGCCCATTAAGCTTCGTCGATACCCGTCCCGGTTGATCTTCCATGCCGGATAAGGCCTTATAAGGCGCTTAATGAAGTTTGCCGGCACTGATCCTGCACGAGTTTAGACGAGAGACTGGCTGATTCGAGCATACATCGTCTTCCGTTTGTGGTAATACATGGGATGTCCGTGGGAGCCGCTGGGAGAAAGGAATCAGGCCAGCCATGTGTTCGACGTATATCAGGTGAGCCCACCCGACATTGCGACATACTCGGTGTGCTGCCAACCTGTCAAAAGAAACACAAGCGAGTGCGAAGGGAAAGGGAAAGGGCTGAAGGTTGCAAACCGGAACCCGGCAGCTTGGCCATCATCACAAACTTGACAGCCATGCCGGAATCACGAGCGTCATAGACTTGCCGAGGCGGTGTCACCGTCTGGTCCCGTTGGCACTTCTGGCAGGTCGCTGGCATTTTTCAGTGCCATTTTGTTGAGGATAAGCGGGCGAGGCGCGACATGCTGACTTGCGATTGGCTCATCATGAGCACAACTCTGTTCGTGTTTCGACTGAACAACGGCCGGTCCGCACAACAATTGGTTTCAGCTTTGATACTACGACCAGTCGCGGGCAGCAATT